AGAAATCATCGTGTAATACAGTACACACAGATAATTTACAGGGAATAAAAAAAATACCGGTTCGTGTTGAATATTTGAATTCACAAAAGCATCTGCTAATTCACTGCACGCAAAACTAAAAAATGCTATGTTCACTGCGAAAGCATCTGAATAAAAGTATGTTACTTCGGAAGTAAGGTAGATTGCATACTGGTAGAGTCGTCTTAATGCCTAGAGCTTATAGTGGCGATCGAGTCGAAATTGACTATGACCATTGCTACAGCAATCACGAGCCCGTCATAGAGAAGATAAATAAATCCATGTTAAACGGTATAGTTGCTGGCGATTTAGTGGTATCAAAGGAAGACGGAAATCATGCCAGAAATGATCGGCGCAATAAAAGAGACAGTAAAGTCAAAATGGCAGCAATATAAACCGAGAATTCGCACGCACGGTATTATATACGAGGAAGTTAAGTAAATCAAGCACTGGTACATTTGGTTATAATAGTGAATGTTTATATCAAAACAACTGCGTTCTATTCATAAAAGTGGATTTACTACAACCTAAATCAGAGACCCTATAGACTACATGAATTCAGAATAGTAGGCAGTGGTTGGAAACGTTACATATTTCAGTGTCCTTATTGAAACGCAAAACCCTATGTCGCAAACATTGAAGTTTTCCACAAAAATCTGAATCCATCTGTTACTTAAATGGGTGACCTCGATCTGGCAACTAATGGGAGCTAGGAAAAATGTTCAGACAATCTAGGGACACATCCAAAAGACGGAGATAACTTGTTGTCATCACATAAAAATTTCTTTCTATACTCCTTTAAACATATGTCCTAACCTGGAAGCTTGAAAATATATCGCACCTCCTACCTAACACAAAATATAGGGATGGCTAACGAAGAAGGTTATATGGTTGTGAAAGAAATCTAAGGGAGATATAATCAGGCAAGTAAAATCATACTTACTGAGCAATCGGAAAACAAGAGGTCGTCTGATAATGGCATACAATAAATTACGGATGCAAAATTACCACAATATTTTTCGAGAATGCTGTCGCCATATTGCTGAAAGGAAAACCACAATAAAGCACATCGGAGACTGAAAATATTTATTATTTCTCAATTTTTCTCACTGACGATCGGCTCCAGATGGAATGCTAATAACGCAAACGTAAGCAGAAAGCCGTCCATGTCTGGCTTCCAAGAGAAGATTTAGTAAGATCTCTCCATCGGTTACCTTAGCGCAACACAGCTATCTGACCTGATGCATGTTCAAAAAACTACCTTTCACCTCATACTTACAGTTATTTTCTATTTCGCTTCTCATCTTGTCCATTTTTTTTTCTATTTTTACACCTCGATTTTTTCGCTAACCTTTTATTGTAATTATGATTTTATTTATTCCGTCACACCTTTCAATTGAATATTAGTCTCTTTTTAGCACCGCGAAAAATCTCTCTCCTGTGATATATTTTTATAGCTGGTGGTTTCAGAATCCCTACTGTTCTGAGACAAACGCTGTCAGATTAAAATATGAATAGACTCACAAAAAAACTAACGAACTGACTACAGTTAGTGTAGTTAAATGAATGTAATACCGTCCGCTAAACAAAACCAAAGACTTTCAGTTATGTAATACAATACGAAGAAAGCATAAATCAGCTGATATGGGCTGGTCACAGTTATAATGGATGAATGAAATAGACAAAATATTTGTAGTGTGAGTACATCTCTTTCGCATGAATGCATGGGCTTAGTTGTAGTGCTCCTACAAGTTCCATATCATTTTTTTATTAGATAGGGAAATAAATATTGAAATTCCAAAGACTAATGAATGGAGGAAGCGATGAAATTATTGATAAAAACAAAAGCAGACCAAAATTAGGAAATAATTGTGAACTTCTTGTAAAATCATTCGGTCGACGCAGTAAATACAGGTGGAAACGCATTAAATGGTCACTTTTTCCTCGTATCAAGGAGATATCTGAAAGTAAACACTCTTATGTTCCCCTGAATATTTGATTTTCCCTAAAATGAGCATCGAATCTTCTAGTATCCCCAAAAGTGATACTGAATGACCTATGGTTCTTCCTAAAGAAAAAGGACTCTTGTTAGTTTTTTCTCCAACACGAATGGACTATTACTTTTATGAAGGTTGCCTGCACTTTCCCAGGTCAATCAAATTATCTGTTCAGTTGATATGAATCGGAAAACGCATTATCTGGAATATAGTTTAGCTATAATTTTTCTATAGCTTTGTCATTGACAAACAAATCAATAAGAAGTCTGATCTGCCACAATATCAGTGTTGCAAGAATTTCGAAAATAACCGATACCTGAGTTACGGATGTTGTGTTTGAAAGATAATAGCAGAATTCAAGACAAGATCAGACTTGAAATAATATTGCTAAGAACAGAAGACTGCGTCTTAAGGATGTAATGTAAAGATTAAGGATGAAAATAGCCACTCCTAACTTCTTTACTTCGATGATAATGATTATTCAGTGTATCTCTCACATCCTGAAGGAACTGATGAGCAATGAAATCACATATTTTCTCAAGGTTTTTTTACTGAAACTGGAGTACGTAGGTTAATACGTCACTGTACCTTTCGCATAAAAGAAATCAAAACATAGCACTATACTCTATAAAGCTGTAGGATCACCCGTTTCTTTTCGTGATAAAACAAACTATTGTGAAATTGATAACTCATTCAGATTGCATCAAGTACGATAGTATATCCGATAATCTCGTAATCACAGACACCTAAAAAATAGTCAGTCTCCAGGATCAAAACATTACATTTATATGAATCATGTTTATACTGATCTTGAAGATTCATTCACTAGACTTTCAATATCCAATATCTCTTTCTAGGGCAAATGTAAGTCAATTTGGTTTCTTCGCGCTCGATTCTTGTTATTTCGGTACGGTTTTAGGTGTTTTGTAGTGTCCAATGAATGGCGGTCTAGCCACTCGACTGTCTAATTCTAGTCAGTTGGCAGTTTGTTGTGAAGTTGTATGTCTCGGGATTTTAATGAAAACTTTTGTTTGAGGGCAGTAGGGTTTCTGGATACCATCAGCTATCACATTAACAGACCGGAGATCAGTTAGTTGCAATGTAGAGAGTAATAAGGATAAAATTCTAATGCTAATATGAATAAAATTTCAAAACTCAATAATATATAGGTGATTTAGTTTATTGATTGGTAGTGAAGATTGTGTGAGAGTACATAAGTGTAAGCAAGGGAGAGGAAACAGAGATAATAGGCAAGATAGATTAATTGAGTGATCTAAGGGGATGTCAATGATAACAACTAAAAGGTCCCAATATATGCTTCATGAACAGATTGTCCAAGAGGGAGATGATAATCCGTGTGTGAGTACGTGATTATCAAGTCTCTTAAAGCTGTCCACTGAACGGGTTGTGGTCACCTCGGCTGAGAGAGCATTCCAAGTTGCGACGATTCGCGATGAGGAAGCGTGCACGAACCTGAGTATTTGATCTTTGATGTGCGATCTTTCGAAGATTGCCTCGAGGGTAGTGGTGGTGATGCGTCGTTAAATGCTCACGTTAGGTTGGTTTGGTGTGCTTAATATGCTGTACGCCATAATCAGATCAGAACATAGAAGAAATAAGATAATCCAAGTCTTGTTACGCTCTCAATTACGTGTAGTTTTTGTTTTTACTATCAGATGCAGAATACTAAAAAGCATAGACCCAATTTTAAACATAATATCTGGTTCCACTTTCTATGTTTGCAAGTTGAAACGAACTTTGTTTGGCCTAATAGTCTGGCAGAAAACAGATTTATTATGTGAACCCAATCGATATAGATATACAGTGAAGTTAATGAGATATCCAAATGTAATGAAGCAATTGCCTCTTTTCTTACTCATAACTCTGAATCTAGGAGTTACCTTAGTTCAATCAGCCTTATACTATTCTCAATAAGCTAGGGACCTAAAGTTAAGTATTGCTCGGTTGGGATAATACATATCCCAGTACTCGATACTTGTTTACAAAGTCAAATCATTTCATTTATCAAATATTAGATTCAAATCCCATTTAATTTATTTGTAAAATAATCTCAACAATTTTGTCAAATATATCAATGCATCAGTAGTAGTAGTAGTAGTATATACTGGTTCATATTGTACTTACTTTTTCTAACATACTGATCGTTTTGCCTACTGTAGCTTATTGAAATCTTAAAGAACGTCATATTAAGGTAGAATGTGTAAACATTAAGTCTACATAATGCTACCATTGAGTCTGTTTAGTAATTGACGATATTGGTCAGTTGACTAGAAAGTTTCACCAGTACTTGCATGTCGATTACTGATGAAATCACGGTACAAGTTAAGAGTATATGCTTTCTTTGCGCAACTTAGGTCATCTGTAGTGTGAGCTGGATGACCATTTGTTAGTCACTTTAGAAACAGATGGGTAAAATATGGTTAGTAATGACAGTAGCAAAATATAACGTTTGAAGAGCTATTACTTGATTGTTTAAATCTCTAAATTGCTTTGAGTTTCTTGGTTAAGCTCTACTTTAATTGTTAGTTTTATAGTAAATTATATAGCTAATAAACAGTCATCGAAGTAAATAGCTTCTCAAACCTGAGTATCGTGTTATTTCACACTTTGTATTGCCAATTCCTTATATCTAATTCTTTCTAGTCATCTGTTTCATTAATTTCATTTCTTTGTTTATTCTAGTGATATCAAAATTCTGGTGTAAAGCTTGATAAACTGCACCACAGTACAACCATTTAGCCGATGTATTTTTGTGTGGTGTTCTATACTGCTCCCTATATTTAACAAAATTAGTTTCTAGAATTATAACAAAGCAATTGAATTCTACGTGTTTGGTTCTCTATATCGCTAATTTCATTATGAAATGTTGATTTTACTGAGGATGTGTAATTTAACAGAATATAAATATTCTCATCATCAGTCACAAGTTTACTAAAAAACAATACGTATTTTATCTACTGACAAATGTCTTTCCTTTTACCAAAACGTTGGTCCGTGTCAACGACATCGGGAAGCGTGTCGTTAGCAACCAAGTTTCGAATTAAACATCCATTTATCAAAATAAATACTTCATATTCATCAACTGATAAGTCAACTGAACATGAGAAAATCATGAGAGGAAATACTTCATCTACTCAGAAACTGCCACCTGAATTCCAGAAAGCTCTTGCAAATGGCCCAAGTCTTTCTGAATTTATCAAGCTAGGCAATAATAATCAGTCAATTGGTCAAGATCCTTTCAGTTCCCAGAGTTTGGTCACTAAATCGGAAGAACGGTAATTTATCAATAGATTATGTTCTAAATCGTTTTCCTTTTGTTTATACGTATTACTCTCAGAAACGTGACGATGTTGAATAACTGATTGTGTGAGGAAAATCAGTCGAAAGTTTCACCACCGTAAACTTCTTGTATGCAATGTTCGGTTGTCTATGACTCTTTTAAGCAATCCCTAGTTGTTCGTTAGGTGTTTCGCAGAAATTTTTTAGATGAATCAGTAGCTAGGTATAAGTTAATTGGTCTGATATTTTGGTCTAGTAATACTATGTATTCTGAATACTGTAATATTAGATAGACAATTTTTCTCTAGCACGTAAGCTTGTTTAACTCTGTGTTTATATGGCTCAAAATATCAATCGGTGTACTTAGTAATTGTACCAATCGCCTTTGCGGCAGATCTGCAGATCTCACGTAATAAAGATATCATTCAGCCATTGAATTTGAATTCTATGAATTACATTTGTATTTTCATTTAGCTCACTAAATTGGCATTCTGGCATTATAACTCTATGGTTTTATGCTCATCACTTGAGCTGAATCTCCTACTCTCGATCCTGTGTGGTCGACAGTATATATGTGTTGTAAGTTCTAAACTATTATGAAACAGTTTCCTTATAGTCATTCGGTTCATTTTAGATCGTGGCAAAATCAACTATTAAATTATACAAAATGCCCATGAAATCATTATACGTAGTAATAACATACTAGTAGTTTCAAGCTGCAGATAGAAACCATAACATGGTTTTATGTTTTTCGTTTCCTCCAGTGACATTCAAATACTTTTTAACCGGAAACCATAAAATTTCTGTCTCTGTGATGACTATAATTTATTCCAATTATTAAGTTTTAATGAGGCGATTTCACCCCGCTCTAGACTACATGTTGGAGCATTTAATGTACGAACATTGTGTCAAATAGGGCAACAGGCATCATTAGCTAGGACTTTAGAATCTCGTGCTATCGATGTCTGCTGCGTCCCGGAAACACGCATACAGGATCCTAGTGTAATTATTAATCTGATCACCTTGTCAAAATAAAGAAGCAGCTCGATTTACTCTTCGTGTATCCGGTAGCCGTGATGCTGCTTCCAGGGGTCTTGCTGGCGTAGGCATAGCATTGAACAATCTCTCTTTGACTGGATCACAGTAGATAATCGCTTGTGCGCTGTCCGACTAAACGGGACAGTAAGGACTCGGAAAGATAGGGACACTCGCCGTTGCCTCTTCGTCGTATCTACCTACGCTCCCACTGACTGCAGTTCAGACGAGGTGAAAGATGAGTTTTACAGAAAGCTTTCGGACCTCCTCCAAAAAGCTAGGCGCTCTGATATAGTAATAATGGCTGGTGACTTTAATGCTCAAGTAGGTAGACTGAGTGAAAATGAAAGACACCTAGGTGGATGTTATAGTGTTGCGGCTCAGATAACAGACAGTGGCGACTGTCTGTTACATGTATGCTCAGACAACCGCCTATTCTTAGCAAACACTAACTTTAGGCATAAGGAAAAGCATCTGTTGACCTGGCGACCTCCAAAGTCGTCTCAACGTTGGACTAGATCAACTAGATCACATCGCCATCAGCCACCGATGGAGGGGTTCGATAGAAGACTGTCGCTCGTTCTGAGGCACATGTTTGGATTCAGATCATGCTCTAGTGCGAGCGCGTATTTGTTTGAAGCTTACTGGACGTAGGAAAGACACCGTAAGAAAGCCTCTTAGGGTTTTACTTGATGATAATAAGGCGAAGAATATATTTCAGGAACAACTAGAAAGATAGTTAGGCGACCATTTAAGCGATTTCCATCCGGAAGCAGGATGAAATGATATCAAAAAGGCTGTGGAAACAGCAGTTATATCTGCTAGTAAGGTAAACCATATGGCTAGAATGAAGCCGTGGATCTCAGTAGCATCCACCGATCTGGTGGATGCCCGAAACCCATCCCACCTGGCTCTGGACATGATGAAGAACGAAGTCAACTTAGGCGCAGACTTATAAAAAGCCTACGTAACGATCGCGAACAGTGGTGAGTGACGAAAGCAAAAGCGATGGAAAAGGCAGCGGCGATCGGCAACAATAGACAACTTTTCCGACTTATCAAGGAAACTGGTATTAGGAATCCTAGTGTAAGTGAGGCTATCTCAGAAAATGACGGGACTATAATTTATTCTCAATCCAGGAGACTGGATCGATGGGCAGAACACTTTAGGGATCAGTTAAACTGGCCTCTAGCCACTCTCCGGTTACCCACGATCTTCAGTCATCCTGAATGGCAAATCGACGTAAGTCCCCCTAGTCTTAATGAAGTTGAAAAAGCGTTAGGAAATCTAAAGCGAGGACGAGCTGCGGGTCCTGATAGACTGACCCCTGAGATATTTAAGGATGATGGTTCAGTTTTAGCAGCTAGGTTGACTGAGATCTTAGGTAGAATCTGGGAACTGGACGTAATCCCATCCGACTGGTCTCAATCCTTGATTGTCCCAATCTATAAGAAAGGACAGAAGTCTTCTTGTGACAATCACAGGGGAATAAGTCTAACTAATATAGTATCTAAAATATTGGCCTCAATAATACTTCGACGCTTAACGAAAGCTCGTGAAGAGCAAACTCGAGAAAACCAATCTGGTTTTCGACCTGGACGTGGCTGTATAGACCACATTTTCACACTACGACAGGTCCTGGAACACAGACACACATTTAGGCGTCCTACAATAGTTGTTTTCCTGGACCTTAAGGCGGCATTTGACTCAGTGGATCGTGAGGTTCTGTGGCAGTGTCTGTCATTGAAAGGTGTACCAAAGAAGTACATCAACCTCATACAAGCTCTCTACTCGAACACCACTGGTCGAGTGAGAGCTTATGGCTAACTGTCACCGGAATTCTTCACTTCAAGTGGTGTCCGTCAGAGATGTCCACTTTCTCCATTTTTGTTTAATTTTATCATAGACATGCTCCTAGAAATAACCTTATCCTCGTCTGAATTTTCAGGAGTAGACCTACTACCAGGTGGCTCGCTTATTGACTTAGAATATGCCGATGACATTGTCCTACTTGGTGAAGACGCTGACAAAATGCAGAGTCTTCTGACCACCCTAAGCAACAATGCTAGCATGTTCGGGATACGGTTTTCCCTCTCGAAATGCAAAGTGTTGCTTCAAGACTGGGTTGCATCGGCACCTGAACTAGTGATAGGGAGTGAAGTAGTCGAACGTGTAGACCGCTTCACTTATCTTGGGAGTCTCATCAGTGCTGATGGCCTTGTGACTGACGAAATCTCAGCTCGGATACAGAAGGCTTGATCGGCTTTTGCCAACCTGAGTCACTTATGGCGTAGGCGAGATATCCGTTTGCTGACTAAAGGACGAGTGTACTGTGCAGCAGTTTGCTCCGTCTTACTTTATGGCTGTGAAACATGGCCAGTGAGAGTAGAAGATATTCGTAGGTTACTGGTTTTCGATCATAGGTGTCTTCGAAGCATTGCTCGTATATCGTGGGACACCCGAGTGAGCAACGCTGTTATTAGGAGTCGGGCGCTAAGTAAGAATGGCAGATCAATAGATGACAGGTGACACTACATCAGTTGAGGTGGTTGGGACATGTGTTGCGTATGCCTAACCACCGACTGCCTCGACGAGCTTTGTTTTGTAGTGTAGGAGTAGGTTGGAAGAAAGTTAGGGGCGGTCAGACCAAAACATGGCACAAATCCATGAAGTCATTGACAAGTGGACTTAGCCATGTCGGTAATTGTCGACTACCTGGTTGGGGTCCGCAAGATGATAATAATCGATGGTTAGAGACCTTGAACGACATGGCTCAAAATCGTTCGCAATGGCGCCGGTGCATTTATGCTTTGTGTTCTCTCAAATGCTAATCTTCTGAGTTCTTCAACACTTCTAGTTTTGACTCTCTAAACTTTTCTCACTGAATCATACTTCTTGAATAACATCTTCGAACCCTAATCTCCGATTACTTCTAATACCTTTACTACCTCTTCTACTATTGGATTTGAATTGACAATTATATCTCTGTGCTGATGTGGTATGGCGACATGAATAGATGTACTTGTGTACGAAGTTCTACGTTGCTACAGACTGACTGACTGAGTCATATATTCAGAAACTGTACTTACGGTGTTTAAATGAATTCTACGGTTTGAAGTCGTTCCATATTTGGGTAGACATTGCAAGGATTCCTTTCGATTTCCCACTTGGATATAATGCAAGACTAAATAATCATCATGAAAGTTGTGTATGAGGGTATTTTCACGATATTTGGTTTTGTTGATTAAATTCTCATGAACAACCCCTAGAAAGTACTGTTTTTAGATGTTACATGACTGAGTATATGCTTTTCATATGGACTAACGCTATATACATCAATCCCATTTACTTTATAAACTTCAGTCTCCGCCTCCCAGAATGGTTAAAGACTGAGATACCATGTGGTGGTAATGTGGCACGTTTGCAAAAGCAGTTACGTTCACTCAATCTACATACCGTGAGTTGTTATACACTTTATAGTTTGATTTTAATATTTTTCGTACTTTTCTTTTAATCACCGTCCGGATATGCTCCCAGGTCTCTAAGACTGACACTAATCTACCTTCCTCTTCGGGTTCTTCAGGAAACATCCTTCCACGGTGTGGGGAGCCGGGAAGTCACAACCGCTCTCGTACCCGTAACAGCTTATGAGACCACACTGATCACAATCAAATCCTTCCTTCACCCCCCATCATATCTCTTATGTCCACGACTAACCCTTCTCACATTCCTTCATCACCCAGCACCCGTAATGCAAAAGATTCGAGTTCAAAAAACGTTATTCCTTGTCTCCTGGAACCCTGTTCCAAATTATATGTTGGAGCATTTAATGTCCGGACGTTGTGTCAAATAAGACAACAAGCTTCCTTACCTGTAACTTAAGAATCTCGCTCCATCAATGTATACTGTGGCTCGGAAACGCGCATACAGGATCCGAGTAGCATCATTCATTTAACCTCACCATGTCAAAATAAAGCAGCATCTCGATTTAATTTTCATGTATCTGGTAGCTCTGCTCCTGCTTTCCGGGGTCTCAGTGGCGTAGGTATAGCATTCAGTCTTGGAAAGAACTAGCTCTCCTTGACTGTATCCCAGTAGAAAGTCTCTTGTGCGCTGTCCGACTAAACGAAACAGTAAGGACTCGAAAGGATAAGGACACTCCCCATCGCCTCTTCGTCGTATCTGCCTACGCTCCCACTGACTGCAGTTCAGACGAGGTGAAAGATGAGTTTTACAGAAAGCTTTCGGACCTCCTCCAAAAAGCTAGGCGCTCTGATATAGTAATAATGGCTGGTGACTTTAATGCTCAAGTAGGTAGACTGAGTGAAAATGAAAGACACCTAGGTGGATGTTATAGTGTTGCGGCTCAGATAACAGACAGTGGCGACTGTCTGTTACATGTATGCTCAGACAACCGCCTATTCTTAGCAAACACTAACTTTAGGCATAAGGAAAAGCATCTGTTGACCTGGCGACCTCCAAAGTCGTCTCAACGTTGGACTAGATCAACTAGATCACATCGCCATCAGCCACCGATGGAGGGGTTCGATAGAAGACTGTCGCTCGTTCTGAGGCACATGTTTGGATTCAGATCATGCTCTAGTGCGAGCGCGTATTTGTTTGAAGCTTACTGGACGTAGGAAAGACACCGTAAGAAAGCCTCTTAGGGTTTTACTTGATGATAATAAGGCGAAGAATATATTTCAGGAACAACTAGAAAGATAGTTAGGCGACCATTTAAGCGATTTCCATCCGGAAGCAGGATGAAATGATATCAAAAAGGCTGTGGAAACAGCAGTTATATCTGCTAGTAAGGTAAACCATATGGCTAGAATGAAGCCGTGGATCTCAGTAGCATCCGCCGAACTGAAAGATGCTGGTGAACTCAACCCTCCTGGCTTTGAACATGATGAAGCGAAAAGTCAGCTTAAGCGCAGGCAGATAAAAAGCCTACGCAATGATCGCAAACAGTGGTCGGTAGTGAGAGCGAGAGAGATTATAACCGATGGTTAGAGACCTTGTACTACACGGCTCGAAATCGTTTGCAATGGCTCAATTGCTTCATTCTTTGTGTTCTCTCAAATCCAAACCTGAATTCCTCATCATTTTTATCTTTTTCTTTTAAGTTTATTTCACTAGGTCCTAGTTCTTCGAACCCTCTCTCTCCAGTTACTGCTCGTACATTTACTAACTTTAGTACTATGGGATTTGAATTCATAATTATCTCTGTGCTAATTTGGTATGGCAATCTGTACTGATGTACTTACGTACATCCTGATTATTTGAAGCTATGTCAACTCCTCTCTTTTCTCTTGCGACTTCCATAGTCCTTCTGAACATTTTATTGATGCAAATGTGATAGATTTGGTTTTGTTTAGTGCGATCTTTTCTTCCTCATGGCAGAGGTACAACAGCAACTCTCTGGAAGTTATTTTTTTTTGTCCATCCTGCGTCCAATCGGTTTCTTTTATTTCAAGCACCACCAGGTCGTACCTTTTTTTATTTCCACTGCAGCTTGAGTAATTCTCCCGATCTCCCACATTGTGCCGACACTCCATGTACCTATATTGACTGTTGTTCTGGTTTCGAGAAGCGGTAGTCAGTTGGTCAGTTACAATATAGAACTTCGTACGTAAGTTCATCAGTTCAGGTTACCATACCGCTTTAGCTCGGAGACGCAATTATTAGTTCAAATCTGATAGTGGTAGAGATAGTAAAAGTATTGCTAGTAATGAGGAAGATTAGGATTCCAAGATATTATTCAAGAAGAATATTTCAGTGAGATGGGTTTAGAAGGACAAAAGTGGAGTTGTCGACGAATCCAGAAGATTAGGATTTGAGAGAACACAGAGTTAATGCACTTGCTCTATTGCAAACGATTTTGAGCCATGTCGTTCAATGTCTCTAACCATCGGTTATAATCGTCTCGCGGACTCCAACCAGGTAGCCCACATCTACCAACATGACTCAGTCAACTTGTCAGTGACTTCATGGATTTGTGCCATGTTTTGGTCTGACCGCCCCTAACTTTCTTACAACGTACTCCTACACTACAAAACATAGCTCGATGAGGCAGTCGGTGGTTGGGCATTCGTAACACATGTCCCAACCACTTCAACTTATCGTAGTTTCAATATTTCATCTATGGATTTGCCATCCCTACCTAGTACTCGTTTCCTAAGAACCGCATTGCTAAGATTTCGTCAGTCACCAGGCCATCAGAACTTATGAGACTCCCGAAGTATCTGAAGCGATCGGTAGGCTCAACTAATTCACTCATCACCGCTAGTTCAGGTGCCGAAGAGGCATCTATCTCCCGATTTCCAAATGACCTCGGCTTTCACCATAAGGTGTCATAACTCTTCTAAATGAAGACCTTCCAACTGCCAGAGTTAGAGTTTAAATGGTGTAAATATTTTTTTCTGATGAGCGGTTTTTTAGCAAGTTTGTTTCCTACGGGATGGGGTTGGTCACCTCATTTATCAGGACTTGCAACTTGCAGCAACCTCATATGGGTACTAGGCGAAATTGTAATGTGTGCAGAGCAAAATGTTAAAATTCGCTACGTTTTTATTGGTAAATATTTAATCTCAGCTCCTTAAAAGCTCTACTAATTGGTGTTTGTATTCGTCGTCTTTAGAGTTGAAATTAATCATATTTTATTTGTTTGTTGTAGGTTTGTGAAGAAGCTCGATGTCCTAATCTTAGTGAATGTTGGACTGGCGGGAAGTCTACAGCCGCTACAGCTACAATCATGGTAAGAGCGTTCATGAAAATAGAAATGTCCCCAAGAAGATACATACTACTATTTAGAAAACAATTTATTTAGTGTATTTAGATGGCGAGCAGTATGATACATTTTACGTTTTTTTGTCAAACACTTTTTTAGCTAACTTTTCTGTCTTCCTGTTTAATAGATTACAATTTAAATACTAGAAATGTGAGACTGGTTAAATAAATATGAACTTAATTATTTTCCGTCTATTTATTTAAATTACCTACTTATTTGTCAAATAAAACGACTAATACCATGCCACACTAAAAACTACCCTACATAAATATCATAAAATTTTTGTGAAGAATTGATAAAAATCACATTGTGCCGATGATAATAATAGTAGTAAGGGCAATGGTTCAAGAAAGAAAACAACAGAGATACCTTTCACTAATTTAAAATGTTCATTAGCACAAAAGTCAAAAGCAGAATCGTTACTTTGACTTTGAGATGTTTCATGAAGTCTAGGTATACTGAGTACATTATTATTGGGACTTTTTGGTGCCAAGTGCTATATCAAACCTACATGTTTTTATCTCGCCAGTTATCCGCATATAGACTTGACTGTTTTTATTCAAGCATATGTGTATCGCTTACTGTGTCCATCAAATATCTTAAGCTTATTTTTGTCTGGCTATAAATAGTGAGTCACGCTTCTTTTCGTTTTTCTGCTTCTCGTCTTGATCTTTGCCAGGGTGAACGAATGCTTGCAATAAATCCATCCGACTTAATCCGTATATGGCTTCCTATTAGAGCCATTGCTTGGACTGGTTTAACCTATGTTTAATATATTGTGTCTAACAAAAGATTTAAGTTCATTATATATTAGTTTGCTCGCTTCTCGAGTCAGATCACGGGCCACAAAATATGAGCTGACTGATGTATGCTAATATGACTACGCACCACTTCTCGTTCTGATTCCACAGACTGGTCTCTATATTTACATTCATTCTAGGAATCAGCAAATAGCACTGCACATAGTAGCTAAAGAGAAGAAAGATCTACAAGAAGCTCATATGATTTACTGAATTGGACGCTTCAGAGTATCATGGCCAACTGATAAGTTCATATTGTCCTACATATTCCTAGCGATCCTTCGGATATCACGATGATCGAACATAGTTAAGTGAGACCAGTTTTTACGTCTGACGTCTTAAAATAAAATTACTATTGTTAAACCTCTAAAAGTTTCCTAAATGAAAATAAATTACGTCGACTTTCGCCGCATAGAGGTTAATTTGTTCGCCTCATCAACATCCACAGAACTGCCTTAATTCACTATATTCTCAACTATTTTCATCGGCTCATTACGAGTTTCTGTCAATACTATTAAAGATGCTCTCACTAATTTAGTGTAAACGTAATGTAATAACAGTATATTTTTTCAGAGCGTAGGCTGAATATAAGTGGGATTGAAATATGGCAAATGGGTATTTACAAATAATGGTAAAAATTTCAGGTTATATCCATAAATTTTATACATATCTTACTTCGTGATACGGATGCTTGAAATGTTCTTGTTCATACTCACAAGAGCACAAAACTAATTGGCTAATCCATGGAATAGTACCAGTGTGCAGTGTTTTTCAAAAAGGATGTAAATGACTACTTTAGTGTAAATCATTCATCAATTTCTTGTGCAGAAATCATACTAAATTCACATCGAAACTACGTAATCTAGGCTGCAAATATGTTGGTTGTCAGAGACTGATTCATTTTCACAGCTACATGACTACTTTAAACATAGACCAATGAAGAGAAAAAGTAAGTCCACATAAACCTTTTCCATGCTAATTGGATATTCGTTAAAAATATGCACTGACATAATACCCACGATTATTTAAAATCTGATAGGTTAGTCTACAACACAAAAGACCTAGTAGATAATTTTGTTTCTTGAGAAATGATGAGAAATAATCAAAAACTATTGGTAATGAAACGAACGGATTAGATCAAAATAGTACTGTAAAGTTAACACTCAGAGAATAGGTAAATGTAATTGTTTCTCAGTCATCAAATATATTCTCTCATAATGTTGTACTTGATGCATTGAGCAGCAGATAATATATTTTATAAATTTAGAAAATAAATTTCTATCATATGAGATATATTACTTAGCTTTTCAATATTTTAACTTATGTTTTTTAGATAATGGGTGATACATGTACTAGAGGTTGTCGATTTTGTTCTGTTAAAACGTCACCGAATCCACCACCTCTTGATCCAAATGAACCAGTAAATACTGCAGAGGCTATAAGTAGATGGGATGTAGACTATATTGTCATAACATCAGTTGATCGTGATGATTTGGGCGATGGAGGTGCCCGACACATAGCTAAAACAAGTAATATATATATTAAATTGTTTGTCTATTGTTCCAATTTTTCATTTAGGACTTTAAGTACGTAGACAATTACTACTGTAGTCGTTATTAGATGTCAGTGATTGATTATTATATCTATCTTAGGAATTAGAACATTTTTAATCAGCATTTCTAGGACACTACGAAATATGAAATCCTGATGTCTATGTCTTTTCTCATTCTGACCTTGACCTTGGTCATAAGACGGCATTCTGCTCTATTGATCGTATGGCGGCGTCTAACACTGAAAACTGTACCAAAGAAATACATTAGCCTTATACAAGCTCTCTACTCGAACACCACTGGTCGAGTGAGAGCTGATCGCGAACTGTCATCGGAACTGATTGCATCGAATGGTGTTCGTCAGGCCTGTCCACTTTCTCCATTCCTATGCAACTTTGTCAATGACATGCTTTTAGAGGCGATGATTTCATCTTCTGACTTTTTAGAAGTTGACCTTCTAACAAGTGATGTTCTTTGTCTAGAATATGTCGACGGCATGGTTCTACTTGGTGAAGACGCTGATAAAATGCAGTCTTCTGACTATCTTAAACATGTTCTGGATGTATTCCCTCCCGGAATGCAAATTTTTTTTCCAGAATCGGGTTGCATCGGCACCTGAACTAGCAATAGGGACTGAAGCAGTTGAGCGTGTTTACCGCTTCCCTTACGTCGGAAGTCTCATCAGAGCTAATGGCCTGGTGTCTGACTAAATCTTGGCACGGATACAGGATGTTCGGCTAGCTTTTACCAACTTGTGTCATTTATGGCGTAGGCGAGATATCCTTCTAACAAACAAAGAAAGAGTCAACTACACAGCAGTTCGCTTGGTCCTACTGTGCGAGTTTGAAACATGGCTAAAGAGAATAGAGGATATTCGTGGGTTATTAATATTCGATCATAGGTGCCTGCATAGCATTGCTCGTATGTCCTAGTACGATCGAGTAAGCAATGCTGCTGGTAGGAAAAGGTGTACTAGGTAATCATGGTACACAAATAGATGAAGTAGTGAATCTTCATCAGTTGAGATTGTTGAGACATGTGTTACGTAATCCGGTCTCCGACTACCTTAACAGTTGATGTTGTTTGAGTAGATTGGAAAAAAACCATGTACGAACATTGCTCCTAACTGATTGGCTGACAGTCAGTCTAACTGTTCAACCTGATAAATTGTTTTTATTCATTTCAACGACTTTTGATTTATTTCCTAAGGCTAACTTTGAAAGGAAGCTTTTGTCACATAACTGGGTCTTCACTTATTCATAAGTGAGACTTTATTTCGTTCTGTCCGTCCAGAAATCGTCTACGATCACCAGTACCATAAATACTCTGCATTCGAACGTAACAGTTAAATGCCTTCCAACCGACACAGTATAGATGTACCGTTTTACCTTATGCGAATTTCAAATTCAATCATATGGAAAGTCTGATTTGTTGTATAGAATTTTATACAAAGAATTATTATAAACATAAGCATCTATATATAATAATGTACTGAATTTTTACCTCAGAATCTTTATAAGCGTTTCAGTTGAATATGAACACTGGTAAAATAGATTTGTTTTTTTCTACTATGCACAAGTTGTGAATATACGTTTGGTAATAATTTTATTTCCTAGTTCGCCAAATAAAAGCACGTAAACCATCAATCATAGTTGAATGCTTAGTACCAGATTTTCAAGGGTGTACAGATTCCATTCATACAGTTGTTCGTGCTAGTCCTGAAGTATATGCCCATAATATTGAGACTGTGGAGTCACTACAACGGTAAGTGTCATTAGTCAAATATATATATACGGTCACTCATTTTTCCCAGTTCATAACCATTGATTATTCATGGAATTAGTTAATTAGCTCTAATCATAAAACCATTAAAAAAAACAGTTGTGTTTAACACTACATTTTAGAACTAAAATGTCTACTTATCATATTTTAGGAGGACCTAGAAACGTGTATCTATAATAGGTTACTCGAGATTTATCAGTTAAATCACTAGTGTAACTGATATCTTAAATAAACGGAAAACCTAGTTTAACATTGTTTGTTTGTATAATGTATTCAGCATTCTTTATCGCAATTGAATGTAACACTTTTAAATTCTTTTAGCGTTGTGCGGGATCACCGAGCTGGTTACGCTCAATCACTTCGAAGCTTAGAGACCGCAAAGGAACGTAGTAATCGGCTCGTGTCATCTGGAAATGCAGACTTCTTGATCATCACAAAATCCAGTATTATGTTAGGCCTTGGTGAAACAGAACAAGAAGTAATGATAACTCTTAAAGATTTACGCCAAGCTGGAGTTGACTGCGTAACACTTGGGCAGTACGTACAACCAACTAAGCGTCATCTGAAAGTAAGATATTGTTAATTTTTGATTTATCCTAGTTTTACTAAAATAAATAGTTTTTCGGGCTTGTGAACAATCAACACTAGAACAAAACCAATGATACAACTGTTCCGTGATATTGTTTTGTGCAACTTATGGGCTGGCTTTTGATACACATTTTTCTCCTGACTTTAAACATAAAGTAAACCACCTGAACTACAAAAACTAACTAAGTGGTAAACAATGTGATACTCCAGTAAGTAGCTCGTAAAACAGAAACAATTTATACGAACCCTCAGTATAATAAATCAAAATAAATTGTATGACATTTGAATACAGTTCAGTAAATTAGTGCAAGATTTTACACAGTCGAATTCTTAATGACTGAATAATTTTAGTAACAACCCATTCATTCGAAAAAATTAAATGCGTCTTTTATGCTCTGGGCCACCATTTTTCCATGAGTTGGTTATAACAATTCGAACAACCATTGAACCAATTTATGATATACTTTGTTCACCATAAACATTATAGGTACAAACAGTATGTCGGATTTGTTTACTTTAAGGATGCTATAACTAAAGACAATTGTGATTCTTCCGCATTCAGATCATAAGTTGAGTTATCAATGAGTTCATTTGTTTCTTAATCTTTTTGATTGTTGCAATAGCATCTTTCTTAAATTCATCAATTTGAAAAATCGATGCGTCGTTGAGAACTTGGAAAATGTACGTATGGTCTTGACCTACTCTTATCATTCTTTTGTAAATTCTTCAGTGCTAACTATATGCTCCTCTCCTTAGAAGTTTTGATTGGGAGGTTGCAGATATATAGTATTGATTGGCAATATCGATCATAGACTTTAATTCTTACCCTCAGGTTAACTGATGATCGCTTAACTGTAATAGTTGAGTGTTCATTAAGTAACTGTAGAACTTCGTTTGCTTGAAACTGATTTTATAACACACTACTGTCATTTCTATACTGTCTTCAGTACTGACTGACTGAGTAATACTAGTACTCAAATTTTAAAAAGTGATCGTGAATGATTACCTCTGTGTTGTTACTTAATGTGAGCTGTAAACAATGAATGTCAGCGTAATCTTATATTTTCCCATATTAACTGGTTTGAGTAAATGTAGTGTCTGATTTCCTTAAAAAGGGAGTCAGTCACTTAACGTAGAACTTCGTACGTACGCACATCTGTTCAGGTTGCCATACCATATTAGCACAGAAACGCAAATGTCAGCTGAAATCCCGTAGTGGTGGAGATAGCAGAGAAATAAGCGATAATGTAGAATATTAGGTCTAAAGAGGGAGATGAAACGTTGGTTAATAATGAATGGATCACGTGCTATTTCAGTGCCATATATTGGTCAAAAGACGCGTTTGGATTCTTCACACACCAAGATCATTTTCTAAATACCCGTCTGGATCAGTTTCGTAATTTTTGTATACGAATGACTTGTGGACGTAGTCTCTTTTTAATAATATAACTTACCTTGCAGTTTTGTTTCTTCCTCTACTAGATGAACAAGTCAGGCTTTTAAGGAGCCTTCATTGTAAATTGAATCAAACCACAAAGTGGAACACAGCCACTTCAGTCGGTCAAGTTCCTGGGTTCGATTCTTGTGTGTGTGCGTCATGGTTTCGCAGTACTGATGAGTCTCATATTACAAATAAACGGCCGTCTAGTGCTTCCAGCGTTCTAATGGTTGTCTTACATTAATCGACCATTTATCACTTCTTATATGCTTTTGTACACACACACAAAGGAACATGCATCAGACAAAGCAATCAAGAGTCATAGAACCTGTGCCAAAATCAGTGAAAATCAAATGAGCCGATAAACGTGGGAAATATACAGAACCATGACAATCGATTGCGAAACACAATCGAAACAGGGCATTGAATGGAGTTGTGTAGGCATTGTCAAGGACGAATTCTCAGGAGCCTTAGCTATTCGCAAAATAAAACCCATCTCATGTGTGCGACAACAAACGTCTTTACTTCTAGTTTTTTAAGCCATTTTATGGCCAGGAATTCTGGAAAAATTTACATTCCTTCCCATACTACATTGATTTTCTCTGTCCTTTAGTTACAGTTATCATCTTGTTGATTTGATCTTAGATTCAGTTGACCTTTATCAATATTTAAATAGGATGCCTTGACAAGTCTATGTGTGACCAGACTGTTCAAGATGTATCTATCAGAAGACCAGCACGTGCAACGACGCCTCCTTTTCACAACGGAAGGATGGGTTTAGAAAAGGTTGACTCTAAAAAGTCACACCTTACCTCACCTCTCATAGTTTCATCTCCGGAGGTTGGGCATTCTGAATAACATAGCGAACACGTTAAAAGCTTCCTACAGAAAGGCTGTTTGACCGGCTTCAAGCAGTTGTCCCTTAGTATCTGCGGTCGCGTTCAAAATCACCAAGATTAACACTAACTCAGCTTTCTGTTTCGGATCCTTCCAGAAAAAAGACCCTTCCTTAGTGTGGACAGCAGAAAAGCGACATCCACCCTCATATCTGTAAAAGCACACAAGATCAACTTGCTCACAATCTAAACCTTCCTCTGTCTCTTGGACTCGCATGATGCTCTATTACAAGCACGTATTTGTCTACGGCTTATTGGACATAAGAATGACTCAGCGAGGAAACTCTGTAGAACAGCCAAGGGAAAGAATGGGACTATTTTTGATTTTTATTCTAGGAGATTGGATCAATGTACAGGACCTGAGGGAACCGTTTTTCTGGCTTTCAGTTAGTCCAAGTCTCCAGTCAACTTGAATGGCGAATTGGTGATCCAATTTTAGCGATTAGAAAGACAGATCTTCGCGAGAATCTGGGAACCAGAACAGGTTGAAGAACACAGACACAGGTCGGTATTTGATGCTGTTGATCTTGAGGTTCTGTGGCAGTGTCTAACAATGAAAAGTTTACCAAAAAAATACATAAACCTTTTTGAGGCTCTGTACACGAACACTACTGTTCGAATAAGAGAATAACGTCCAGGCGCCAACTCAAGTTGTAATTTTCGACATTTAGAAGGCATTTAACTGTATTAATCGTTAGATTTTATGGCGGTGTCTGTCTCTGAAAGAAATACTAGGTCAGTACATCAACCTTGTACAAGATCTGTACTCGAATACTACTGTAGTGAAAAAGAACACAGGTAAGGGCAACCGAATTGTATTTATCTCAAATTACAGAGTTAATCGGTAAAATAGGAAAACTATATCGTAAATCGTTAATTTGCAAAATATCATTCCATCATATCGAACTGGACTGTTCCTGTTGCAAACATCAATCCGTTGTCTGACATCTCACTGTTCATGCGTTTCATACAAATTCCATTGTGTTCCCGCTCTTCCGTTCTTCATCTTCCCCCATCTGCTGCCAGACATTACGTTTTTATTCGCGTCATAAGTAAGTAGTAGCGCGCGCCACACTACTTCTTGCCTAGTCAACGCTTATGATGAGCTTTCATCAGGATTGCAAATTTGTCATTAACAAGTTTCTAGAGATAAAATTATCTTCGTCTGGCTTTTCAGCGGTGGACTTTCAACCAGGAGACTCACTTTTTGATTTAGGATATGCCGATGACAGTCTTCTGAATACCTCAAGCAACAAGTCAAGTTTGTTCGGGATGTGGTCCTCCCACTTGGAATGCAAAAAGTTGTTTTAGAATTCACTTGAACTAGTGATAAGGAGTGAAGTAGTTGTGTTTCGGTCTCTTAGCAGTCCTGGTATCTTACGAAATCTTGACAAGCGGACTACGGCATATTAGTAAGTTTGTACTCCATGGTTGGGGTCCACCAGACGATAGTAACTGATAGTTAGAAACTTCGGATTATATCGCTCAAAACCGTCTGCTATGGCGTAGTTGCATTCATTTTTTGTGTTCTTTCAAATCCTAACCTTCAGAATTACTCATCATCTTTATCTTTTTAATCCTACTTCACTAGATTCTACTTTTTTAATAATATCGTCGAACCCTAATCTGCCATTACTTCTATTCCTATGGGATTCAAAGTGACAATTGCATCTTTGTGCTAATGTGGTATGTCAACTCGAACTAATGTACGTAAGTACGAAGTTCTGTGTTGTTGTTGGTTGATCGATTTGGTATGGCAACCTGAACTGATGCAGGTACGTACCGAATTCTACGTTGTAGCTGACTGACTATCCGATTGTAATTTACTAATTAACACTTCTTTAAAATAACACGTACAGACTTCTTTCCAGGTGATTTATTGAATTAGTTAGTTACGGCTTGTGTCACCTACAGTTTGTAAAATACGTTTCTATTATTTTCGTGTTGTAACGTTGAATACTACAGTTGTACTTTTGAAGAGATTTATTTTTTATTACTAGGTTAAAGAATATGTTCATCCGGATAAATTTGATTATTGGGCGAAAATTGGCAATGATCTAGGATTTTTATATACAGCTAGTGGACCATTAGTCCGATCATCATATCGAGCAGGAGAATATTATATCAAGCATATTATAGATCAACGTACACGAAGGAACATATAGTAGGAAATTGAACGAAGCACACAAATTGTATATAACAAATCAATTCGTGCTGAAACGTTCATTTTACACAATCCTTTTAGTTAACATATATGTTAATATACATATAATTAGATAATACATGTAATACAACATTACTTACAAAAACGGATTCCCTTCTGTTTTATCGAGTACAATATGGAAAATTGTTATGCCTTAAGAAAAGTAGCTGTGTTTCGTAATTTCTACAATTTAGGTGTGGATCTACCACGCATCGGCACTAACCAAACACGTGTAACATCAACTATAAGAGTCTCGTCTTGTTGCTTGATAAGTGAAAAAGATTCTCGTTGCATTCCATAGAGTTTTAGTTCGAAATACTGTTGGTTGGTTAAAAAAAACCTATATTTGCTGAGATGACGGTTTTGTTGTATCAATACATTAAAATATTGGTACAGAAAGGTTATCAGTATATATATATTTGCGCCATGTAAATTATATTTCGCATTAGCTGAGACGCTCTTTGGGTGCCTGAATCGATGGTGTTTTTTCAGGAGACCGCTCCTAGACGCTTTTACCTGGAAGTTACAGTCGATAAGGCAGTTGAACAACCTTATGATATGCCTTCCATGATAGCTGGTGACCAACAATAAATACATATATATCATATGTTTGGAATCAGATTTTTCTAGCTACATTAAGTAGATCTCCCGTATCCACCAACCCGGTTCAAGCGCCGGACACTTCTTTACTCCAAGCGGTGTCTCTCAGGGATGTACACTCTCCCCATTCTTGCTCAATTTTGCTATAGACATGCTGCTAGATATAACATTATCTTCGTCTGAATTTTCAGGAGTAGACCTTCACTTCAAGTGATGTCCGTCAGGGCTGTCTACTCTCTCCTCATTCTTGTTTGACTTTGTCGTAGATATGCTTCTAGGTAAGAATGGCAGATCAATAGATGAAGTAATGACACTTCATCAGTTGAGGTGGGTGGGACATGTGTTGCTTATGCCTAACCACCGACTGCCTCGACGAACTTTGTTTTGTAGTGTAGGTTAGACGAAAGCTAGGTGCGGCCAGACCAAAACATGGCACAAATGCATGAAGTCATTGACAGCTGGACTGAGACATGTCGGTAGGTGTCGACTACCTGGTAGCGGTCCGCGAGATGATAATAATCGATGTTTAGAGACCCTGAATGACATGGCTTGAAACCGTCTGGAATGGCGCAGGTGCATTTATTCTTTATGTTCTACGATATTCTAACCTTCTTAATTCCTCATCACCTGTATCTTTCTCTTTCTAAATTTACCTAACTGAATTATACTTCTTGAACATCTTCGAATCCTAGTCCCTCCGATTACTTCTAATACCTTTACTACTATTGGATCTGAATTGACATCCACTTCTCTGTTCTAATGTGGTATGACAACATGAACTGATCTACATACGTACGAAGTTCTACGTTGCTATTGATTGACTGATTCTTTCGAAACAGCAGTGATATCTGCTCGTAAGTTAAACCATAAGGCGAGGACGAAGCCGTGAAACTGAGTAGCAGCTTAAGCTGAGACTGATTAAAAGCCTATTTAATGATCACGAACAGTAATGGGTAGCGAAATCGAGAGAGATGGAAAAGGCAGCGACGATAATAGTAGACAACTGTTCCACTTTTTCAAGGAAATCGGTATCAGAAACTATCTCAGAAGACCATGGTTTTATTATCCACTCTCAACCCAGGAGATTGGATTGATGGGCAGAACACTAAAGGTCAGTTCAACTGGCCTTCAGTCACACTTCGGTTACCTACGATCTCGAGTCATCCTGAACGGCAAATCGATATAAGTAACCCGAGTCTTCATGAACTTGATAAAGCTATAAGAAGTCTGAAGAGAGGGAGAGAAGCGGTTTTTTAATAGGCTAGCTCCTGAAGTTTGTAAGCATGAAGGTCCAGTTTCAGCAGTTAGATCGACTGAGAGCTTAGGTAGAATCTGGGAACTGTGTGATACCATCTAACTGATCTAATTCACTGGTTGTCCTAGTCTATAAGAAAGTACAAAAGTCCTCTTGTGACAATCACAGAGGAATAAGCCTAACTAATATAGTATTTAAAATATTGGCCTTAATAATATTTCGACGCTTATATATATATATATATATATATATATATATATATATATATATATATATACCTTATCTGGTTTTTCGTTTACTTATACAATACAGAACACATAATATATCGTTGTCTTGCAAAGGACGGTTACAGACTCATGAACATCACCCTCCTCGCAAGAAAAAGTGATCATACATATAAAACTAAGAGTGAGTATTTTTTTGGAACCAAGTAAAATTCAATGGAATTCCCACGTTATTGTTAAGAACAAATGATTGGATTGTTGACTGATAGGGCCACATCCGCCAGCTTGAAGTGATGTAAAGCTGTTCAACAAATTTCTTTTATAGTGTTTCTGAAATTATTTCAAATCTTTGGTGGTTGACGACTGGATAATCTCCTGGAGATTGATATAAATCCTTTGAACGTTTCAGCACATCAAAACTAACAATCCTTAAATCAAACCTTGTTAGCTCAAACAGACGAACAATTAGGAAGAGAACATCACTTCTGAAAAAGGCGATAAAGGAACGCGATATCTAATCACCACTAAAAGTGACGTTAAAAAAATAACAGTTAAATTAAATGAAAGGATAACTGATCAGCAAACATAAGTGCTAAATAATACACTTAGGATATGGTCTCCAAATTTTCGATAAATATAGAATAAAGGTATATCTAGTTTATGATTAAATTTTGTATAAAGTATATAGGTAACGTGAAAATTACTCATGCTTATATGGTTGTTCTATACAATTAGTACATAAATATTAATGATTACAACAGTGAAATTTCAATATTGTTCATTCATCATAATCTTTCACTTGTCTATAGCAAATACGAATATATTGCAGCTCTTGATAGTATATAGACAGCAGACCTTTGACTCCAAGATACGTCATTCCACCCTTGAAAATAGAATTGAAGAAAGAGACGAATTGAATCAACCGGTTTCAAAACAGTAACCGAAATAGTCAGGATAGCTTTTCAACTATTAGTGATTTGGGTTTACTTAACTACTTAGAATTAATACTGCATTGCTTAATCGATATGATTCCCAAACAATAATCAGGATGCACTAACTCATCCCTTACTATATATGAGTGAAAGTACAGACTTCTATCGTGGTTAAAAACGTATCTCACAATTTGATGACAAAGTAAATATATTAAAAAGCTGGTTTTTAAATGACTAGTATTTAACAAGTCTGTATCCCATCCTATAGTATATAGATACCTTTTGTTCAAATGATTTCAATAGTTGAAGAAGCCAAACTTTTTAGTTCATTTTTATCACAATAATAGCTTAAAAAATTACAACAATAGTCAATGTACATATTCACTAATCTCATAAAATATATGAAATCATCTTACCAGGAGAACTCTATGTGTAGCAGACTGCACCCGTTTAAATAATAAGTGTCCAAGAATGGTAGATATTGTTGGAAGAGCTAATGCACTACAAAATAAACGAGGTATATTAGAGAGTTCTGGACGCAGTTCGACATCAACATCATTAACAGGCCATGTTGGGAGATCTTGAAGACAAAAAAGAAAATAACACAGTATGCTAGCCGAAATTTGACATTTATTGCATTAATAAGAGTCATTTTGAATCAATATATTACACTTCAGCGGATGACAGGAACGCTGAAATTGAAGATTCCATCTTTCATCTTGAAATATCTTCATACATTTGCAAGACTTAATACTGTCTCATCTATTTGCTTTAACTCATCACCTCAATACATGAGATAAAGGCGAACAAATACATTACTTAATGACGAAGCTGAACTAATCCAAAGTTAATAACATTTCCTGACTGTATAAACTTGTAGATGGAAAAAAATCCATTAGGAAAGAGGTCAGTTTCTTAAACGGACAATCATAACATGATGTATTACAGTTTTACTTACACCACTTCATTTAAACTTATGATATTCAAGTGACCAATGTTTTATTCATGACATTTGCGAAGAAAAATAGCTGTTAACTGCCTACGGTTTTAACATTTTTGAAGTTACTAATTGCTTGTCTTATGTTGGAAGGTTCAGATTTCAGTCGGAATGAAACAACCCATCGGCTAGAAATCACAAGTGGAATGGTTTAAAAGTTATTATAAAGATAAAGAATATGTACCCACTCAGTCTTCGAAACTTGGACACTACCAATATCAGTCTTAATAATTGATTGATACTCTTTTTTGGTTGATGTAACTTTTTTGAGTTCTTTACTTCTATTACTAGAAGAAATAAAGATGAGTTATTTACTTTATGTGACATCACACTAACATACTATTATCAATGTAAAACAGGGATTGAAAAGGTGGATTGATAATTATTCTGATGTGATACGAAAATGGAGGATAGCTGAGTTTTGCTAAAACCCCGAGATCGAACAGATGAATGATAGGGACAATTCACACAAGTATAGCTCAAAGCAAATTATTATAGATATCCGAGCATAAGCACTTGGTTGCTGCATACAGGACTTCATTGGACAATGATAATCTCACCTATTTAATGTAACCTATTCAGAAGTACTACTTTAATAGTTCGGTTAATGGTCATGTTAACCAAATCTTTATTTCATCAAGTCCACCTAATTAGTTGTGTCAGTTTAATAAAAGACGCTTTCATTCTACTTATGTATGGAGGTTTTAAGCGATTAATTATAAATTACTGGTTAGGAATTGAAATTGGAAATGGGTATTTTTTTTCTAGATTACTTCCCAAAATGAGATGAGATGACAGTAAGAAATCCTATAAGCATCTTCAACAGTTAGACGCATATACACTATTTCGAAGAGAAATAGATTCCGGAAAAATGTAGGAATCGCTCAATGTCCAGATACGGTAAACTAATGGTATAAATATAGCAACAGAGGAATATTTTTTCAAGATAGCTGGACCTGTTTTACATCAGTAGGAAGTTTTTATTTTGCGGTTAAATGTTAAAAAACTAATTTACTGACCCATTCATTAAAATAATTTATGGATAAGATTAGTATCATAAATACATAGTACATCTGACAACAATACGATTTGAAAGCCACTCAAACGAAGATACAAAGCTGTTTAGCACGTGAAATATTTAAGATCTGAAATTCCATACAATGATAAAGTACTTAATATACGCTTCTTGCATTAATTAGAAACAGATTTATACTAAATTAGATTTCTGCAATTGAAAGCATGCATAAAATGTAGTAAAGTATAAGCCATTCACACAATACCTACCTTTGCGTCTGAACTGCTGAATAAAGGGTAGACGACTTATATGTTTTCTCCATAACATAAGCAGTCTACTTTCCCATTGGACCGCCTTGGCCAAAACAAGACACAGAGGAATAGTCGGGAGACCCAGAAGTAAAACAGGAGGATCTGTGAGTCTCATGACTTGTAGACCTTGACGATGTCCATAAACCTGCATTACTGTTACAGCCCCGTAAGTTACAGCAGACCAGTAAAATGAACCGAAAATTATTCCACCAGTAAGAAAAAATGATAGAGTGCGAGTTATCTGATCAACAGACTGTAAAAAATTATACAAATATCCTAAAAACCAAGAATTTATAGAAGAAAATTAGCAGTTTGAAAGTACTCTATTCAATAACAGACACAAAAAAAGTCACAACTACATTTTCTCAATAAACGTTACAAACGAACACATTTTAAAGTGATAAATAAATAAGATAAACCTCTGAGAGTAGGTCTATTTGCTTCAATGAAACTTTTTCCTTAAAATGATAACCATATGTCTTGCAGTAGATACAGTTCGCAAATACGATGAGCAAAAAACTTACTACTGACCAGTATACGAACCAGGACTGACAGAAATAACAGAGCTTTAACTCCGCTTGGAGAGCCCTACGGGCTACTGCCGGTACCAAATCCGGAGAAAGTAGAAGGGTCAGGCGTGGGGTTGACGAACCCAGCCCGTAGAAAACCAACTCGCTAAAAAATAATTCAAACCATTTAAACTCTGCCCTAGAAGTAAGGTGTTCATTCAGAAGAGTTATGACGTCTCATGATGAAGACCGCGTTCCTTCACAAGTAACGAAGCCGATGCCCCTTCCGATAACTTGAGCAACAATTCTTTTACTCACATGGAACGTTCATACGATGTAGGAGACCAAAAGACTGTTCCAAGTTGCTGCAGAAACGAAAAGATACAACTTAATGGTACTTAGGATCAGGGAAACACAATGGAGGCTGGTTGGACACAAAACACTAGCTTCAGGAGAGTTGCTGCTATATTCCGGTCATGAAGAAAATGCTACACATGAACAAAGATTTGCACTGATGCTGTTCAAACAAGCATAAAAGGCACTTATCGAATGGGAATCACATGGACCGAGGATCATCAAAGCATCTTTCAAAACAAAGGAAGAGGGCATCACAATGAACCCCATCTAATGCTGTGCTCTTACCAATGATAACAGTGAAAAAGATAAAGAGCGAATCTACCAGAGGCTAAAGCCAGTCGTCGAGAGATGCTAATCAAAGAATTTGACCATTCTGGTGAGAGACCTAAATGCCAAGGTAAGAATGGACAACACTGGATATGAAGACATCGTGCGATGGCGTGGACTGGGAGAAAGGAAAGATAATGGTGAGAGATTTGCAAACCTATTTGCCCTCAACAAACTGGTCATAAGCTGCACCATATTCCCACACAAACGCATACACAAAGCCACATAGATTTCACCGGTTCACATCACAAAGAACCAAATTGACCAAATTTGTATCAATAAAATGTCCGAGAGGACGATGGAGGACGTGAGAACAACGAGAGAAGCGGATATAGCCTCAGATCATCAATTTCTGGTTTCCAAGATGAAAGTGAAACCAAAGAAGCACTGGACAACAGGGCGGACAACATTACAAAAGTTTAACAGGGCTTTTCTTCGGGATACTGACAAACTCAACGAATTCAGGACAGCCCTCAGCAATAGGTTCCAGTCTTTTCACGATGTACTCAACGGAAAGGAAACTACCATAGAAAGCAATTGGAGAGGGATCAAGGAGGCAATCACTTCAACATATCACGAGGTTCTAGGCCACAAGAAGGAGGAATGGATATCTGTTAAAACTCTGAATAAGAATCGAGAAAGGGAGAACAAGAAGGCTGCAATCAACATCATCTGAAAAAGAGCGGATAAAGACAAGGCATAAGCAGAATACACAGAAATGAACACGCAAGTGAAGAAAAGCATCAGAGCCGACAAATGTAAATATGTGGAAGATATAGCAATGACGGTGGAAAAGGCTGAGAGAAGGAAATATGAGACATTTGCACGATACAACACAGATGCCTGCTGGAAACTATCATAAACCAGAACGATCAGTGAAAAGCAAGGAGGGCAAATTTATCAGCAACACAGAAGAACAGAGAAACAGGTGGTTAGAGTACTTTAAAGAACTCTTGAATCGACCAGCCCCACTAAACCCACCCAACATCGAAGCAACACCCACGTACCACCACAAATAATGTAGGCCCACCAAAAATTGAAGAGATCGGCATCACCATCAGACAAATGAGGAGTAAACAACATAGCAACCGATGCACTGAAAGCTGATGTAGCAACAACTGCAAAGATACTCCACATCCTTTCAGCAAAATTTGGGATGAAGAACAAGTACCAGCAGACTAGAAAGAAGGACACCTGATCAAAATACCAATGAAGGACGACCTCAGCAAGTGAGAACTACTGAGGCATCACTCTTCTCTCAATAACAGGCAAAGTCTTCAACAGAATGTTGTTAAACAGAATGAATGGCTTTGTAGAAGCCCAACTTAGAGATTCAGAGACTAGATTCCGCAGGGATCGATCTTGTACTTACCAAACAGCAACATTACAATTGACTGTGGGACAATCATTTCAATTAAGCTCACCATTCTACATCAACCTCATATATTACGAGAAAGCATTTGATAGCGTGGACAGGACAACACTATAGAGGCTTCTTTGACACTACAGTGTGCCTGAGAAGATAGTCGACATCTGACGGAATTCCTACGATGGTAGAACCTACAGGAACAAATGTTCCAGCCAATATAGCTCGGTTGGGTTATCATGATAGGCAAGCCCGACCACCACGTCAATGTAGCAGCCACGGTTGGGGTATGAGGAGAATGAACAACAACTTGGTAGTATAAAGGAAGGCCCAGGACAAAGTAGGTTGGAGAATGCCGCGCCCTATGCTCTACTGAGGGTAACAGGTGTAAGTAAGTAACTTTGTTAGTTTCGATTGATGAAACTAGATTGCAGGATACAATCTGGTTCTAACTCCATTCGAAACTCGGTTGTGCATGTTACGTTACTTCTTGTTACTGTCTACTTAGAAACCTAATAAACCGGTACTTCAGCTGAACCAGTACAGTGTTTATAAGTAGTTACCGGTCGGTTGGAGCTTAAATAAATAAGAGATCAAAATATTAGTGACGTAGTAACTATTTTATAGGAATCCTTCAAAAGATAACATCCTAAGGACTCATCGAAACATCAAATTTGATTATCATGACTATTATATACTGCTACTTGAGTTGTTAGTATATATAATTTACATTTTACTATGGCTTATGATAGATAAACAAGTGACTGACAAAATAATATTACATATTCCAAAGACGATTTTCTGACACAAACAGTGATATAACAAGAAGTAATTTGAAACCAAATAGTTTACAGTCGAACGAAGTGGTATGGCAACTTGAACTAATGTAAGTACGTGTGAAGTTCCATGATGTAACTGACTGAATGAGTGCAACAAAAATAAAAAAAACACTTTCTAACAATCTTAATCACAGAATACACTAAAAACCTTTGTTACAGGTTCCGAATAATCCAAGTTTAGAAGTAACAAGTAAACTAAATACCCAACTATATATTCTGTTAGAGTCAAGGATCAAAAATTAAGTTGAAAGTAAGCCAATAAAATCGGTTAAGACATCTGGTATATCTGATGAGTGCGGCCAAACAATATTCTGTTTCGTCAAAAGAGAACTGAAGGAATCTTCAGTGCGATCAAATACTTTACACCCGTAATCAGGAGCAGACCTTTTACCAGGTGGCTCGCTTATTGACTTAGAATATGCCGATGACAGTTCTACTTTGTGAAGACGCTGACAAAATGCAGTCTTCTGACTACCCTAAGCAACAATGCGAACATGTTCAGGATGCGGTTCTCACCATCGAAATGCAAAATGTTGCTTCAAGACTGGGTTGCATCGGCACCTGGACTAATGATAGGGAGTGAAGTAGTCGAACGTGTAGACCGCTTCACTTATCTTGGGAGTCTCATCAGGGCTGATGGCCTGGTGACTGACGAAAACTCAGCTCGGATACAGAAGGCTTGATCGGCTTTTGCCAACCTGCGTCACTTATGGCGTAGGCGAGATATCCGTTTGCTGACTAAAGGATGAGTGTACTGCGCAGCAGTTTGCTCCGTCTTACTTTATGGCTGTGAAACATGGCCAGTGAGAGTAGAAGATATTCGTCGGTTATTGGTTTTCGATCATAGGTGTCTTCGAAGCATTGCTCGTATATCGTGGGACACCCGAGTGAGCAACGCTGTTATTAGGAAACGGGTACTAGGTAAAAATGGCAGATCAATAGATGAAGTAATGAAACTTCATCAGTTGAGGAGGTTGGGACACGTGTTGCGTATGCCCAACCACCGACTGCCTCGTCGAACTTTGTTTTGTAGTGTAGGAGTAGGTTGGAAGAAAGTTAGGGGCGGTCAGACCAAAACATGGCACAAATCCATGAAGTCATTGACGAGTGGACTGAGCCATGTCGGTAATTGTCGACTACCTGGTTGGGGTCCGCAAGATGATAATAATCGATGGTTAGAGACCTTGAACGACATGGCTCAAAATCGTTCGCAATGGCGCCGGTGCATTTATTCTCTGTGTTCTCTCAAATCCTAATCTTCTGGATTCTTCAACACTTCTAGTTTTGACTTTCTAAACTTTTCTCACTGAATCATACTTCTTGAATAATATCTTCTAATCCTAACCTCTCCGATTACTTCTAATACCTTTACCACCTCTTCTACTATTGGATTTGAATTGACAATTACATCTCTGTGCTGATGTGGTATGGCAACAAGAACTGATGTACTTACGTACGACGTTCTACGTTGTATCTGACTGACTGACTGGCTGAATCACACATGAGACATTTGATTGACCGAAAAGTCTAGGTTTGACACATTAAATTCTGGTTTTGGCGTTCAACTTATTTTGTTCACCTTTAAAATATAAGAATAAGTTGCTGTCATAGTCTGCATTTCGATTGTATATTCCATACAATTAACAAGCTATATAGAAACATGTTAGCTGCGAATTCCTAAAAATTATTTAACTTCGACAAAAAAATTCCAATACCATTTATTTCACTAAGATCATTAACTTGAACCTACCGCAATCAGGATAGACTATTATATATGGTGTATTACATATCTGACATGACATAGGATCCGATTCTCCTCGGCTACGTTGCTGTTCACTAATCCACCTTTGAAGACACGCTTGATGAACCCATTTTAGTGCGCCGCGACACCGACAAGGTCTGCTCCATAAATTGGCTGAATCACTGTCTATTTCAGAACTTAAACAAATCCAACAGGTTCTGTCTTCCTTTGGCATAAATGGTGATACACTGATACTTTGCTCTAAAATAGATCAGAGCAATTTGATTTCCTTTTATTTGAATCGTTTTACTTGTAATATATTAAGATATAAGAACGAATTGGGATTTACTCTTAGATTCTAAAATAAGAAAACAGGAGCGCTAGTGAGTAACCAAGTAATGAAAACACGTATGTAAGTACCAGGTTTTACGCTGTTGCTGACTGACACAAACTTATAAGACATAACACATTTTACATGCCTGTTACACTACGCGTTTGACGAAAGTCACTAGAGTACATCCACTAAAACACACGGTATATGTACTTGATGAACAAGCTACTTAGTTTTTTCCAGACGAGTACGGACTGAAAACGCCTTCGGTTCAGAAATCAACATGTCTAAGTATATTCATTTGCACCTGAGAAACCACAATGAACATGCAGATAGCGAATCTCAGTACGTGAGTTGGGATTGACATAAGACTGAATACATAAACTCCTTCAGAAAAATTACTACCTGTCCAGTAAAAGACAACACAAGTGGTGGATACTGTAAACCATATTTCCTTACACGAAGCAAGTATAATGCATTTGGTGTAATAATGCATGTTCGCTTATGCATTTATGGGTTTACACAAAGACTATAAATCACTATTTTCCGTTTTCAGCTAGCCTTACATGTACTCACCGAAGCTACAGAGCATTCAGTTTCATACACAAGTCGTAACTTTTTGTAAATCTCATATATTTCTACAGGTTCTTGCTAAGTTAAATTCGTAGAAAGATCTTGATAGCCATGTTCCCTAAATGATACTACACTAAACATTTATTTGTCAAATTAAATCACCAAAACTACATTAAATTGCTCATTTACGTTAAATATATACTATAAGTGGGAAAGCTTAAAGCCCGAGAACAACTGTTACCTTTGCATGGAATAAAGTTGGGATAAGAAGAAATACGAGACAACTTTAACTCTAGAGCTTAAACTAAAGTAAATGCATTTTCGGCCGATTAAACTAAATGTATCAGAAGTTAACACGAAAATGATATTTCAGCAGGTACCGCAACACAGTCCACATACAGGCGGCTGCCCTAAGTCCTCGCTTTGAAAGATTTGTAGTCACTTCCATCAAGAGCTGTAAGAAATTGTAACCACAAATACCAAAAGAGCAGTTGACCTAGGTATGCGTTAAGTTTGACGGTACCTTACGTGCTGGAGAAGTGTGAGGAGCGGCTTTTAAGATTGTCTGGAGGAAGAGCTAGAGATGATACGGCTTTGTAAGCACATAGAATGCACTTAGTTTTAATAACTAAAACAAACGAAAACAGTTTGAAATAAAACAAACGAGATTAAGACAAACTGTTAATCAAAACGTGAATTTGGTAGCGCAACCATTCATATGCGTTACACAGCCTGTAATTAAAACTACCGCTCCTATGTCTTAGCGATTCCAGCTGACTGCTTCGAGGCGGTCATTCCGTATTACAAGTGCTTAAGGTGAGTGGTTAATCAGTAGACTAGCTGAAATTAGAAGCAAGTGTGCCTTTAGATGCTCCGTATATTTGCGAAAAATGGGTAAACAAAACCCATAACTTTACAAATTTTCCTCATAATCCAGCTAAACAAGACGTCTGTGTAGTTCTCTTTATTGTTAACCTATGTCTAGTAGTAGATGGGTTTTAATAATTCTTCATTTTGTGACTACACTAAGTGCGTAGAGACTGTGATTTTCAAATTACATTTTTTTCTTTCGTGGACGAACTCATTATGAAAATGTTTATGTTCTTCGGAATGTACTTTCGGGACATTCGAATCATGTCAGCAGTGATATCGACCAGATCAACTGGCTTTTTCAAGATCGCCTCAGCTTCGTCGGCCTATGGGGAATAAATTTAAACATTGGTACTCTGTTGAGCTTTGACTCTGATAAAATCAATTGGGTGTGTGTATTCTATCTTTAGAAAATCTTTAGAAAAATCTATGTTTTGTCTCATAGTTTACTAGGAACAACAGAAATTTTGTTGTTCGAAACTGTTTGAAGTTGCATAGTTGATATTAGTTTATGTGAGATGGATTAAATTCGTGGTCATCTTCGACCATTGAGGATTATGTTGAGTTGGAAATATTCCAGGTTTTCATGTTCTAGATTTCAAAAGGTGAACTAACTATCTCATAATTTCATATCATTCCATTGCTCCCTTATCTCTTGTATTAACACTAAAGCATTGGGAATCAGCTCCTGATGTTTCCTTATTCCTTTATCAGCCCTGACACTTTAGTTTGTGCACGTTTTAGTTACTCACACCTGTAAATGTTGTTGTCAAGCCCCTTTTTAATGACCAACGATACGTTTCGTAGTAATGACGGCCATCTGGGCTGTGTCATTAAGCTACTAAATGTTTGCGATCGAGTAATAACAGCGTTAAGCAGATTACTGCCGGAATCTACACAATTCTCCTATTTGTATTCGTTAAAACGTTAAAACAAGATTACGCAGCAAGTCGTGCTGTACAGTAGTAGTCTCATGTTAAGGCAGTGCGCAGACTCCGTCAAAGGTTGTAGTCCAATTACAAGTAGTACGGACCTATAATCGATAGAGCACAAGGAGATATTTCATTAATTTGTGGCAAGCAATATGGATACCAGAGATTTTTTGCCTCCCTTGACTCATTAAATTAAAGTCCCCTAGAAAACCATCTACTGTCTAGCAGTTGTATTCAGTGGGATGCGTATATGTTTTCTGATTCAGAATACTGCGTATAATAGGTGGCTTTACAAGTAACGAATTCACCGCACAGAAGGATCTGTCAAAATGAGTTGAGCCCAGGCTTACCATATTACCTTCAGAATACCTAGAATTTTGTTGAATCAGTCAAATTCGGACGTCCAGAGTAATTTATTATCATCTTGAAATTTCCAACCTGACCAACTCCCGGTTTCTTTGATTTCAGGGCACCAAATTTAGAACCATTTGTTCCAAACGATTAGTTAATAACCTAATTCTGATTTCAGTTGTTAATGGCTATGGCAACCTAATAAACAGTTACACTGGGTGTGTTCGAATGAAATTAGGAAACCTAATAATTGTTCGGAAAGGATAATATCGACATCTAGAAAATCAAGAAAGTACTACTTTTCACAAGCACAATTCCTCATTCATAATAGTTGATCCACATTTGGAAATACATTTTCATATAAACCATTCACCCTCGTTTTAGTATGTACTGGGGGTAAGGCCGAACACCAATAGGGGTAGTCGTTTGACTCTTGTCTGTTTTTGCCAGGTTTGTTTGGTTTTCTCATGTGTCAGAGGTTAGCAGGACGCGTTATTCTCCTGCAATGGAGCCTTAGAAGAGGGAAGTTGAAATTCGGAACTATTTTCTGTTGGAATCTCTATTACAGGAATTCGCCTGCATCAGTAATGTGTTTAAACCATGTAGATGTCCGTAGACATGGGTCACTCAAGCTTAAACAAACTGTTGAAAAGTTTGCTGAATATACTAAGCTAATTCATTTTGGTATTTCATACGGTTTAGTTTATGCAGTCTGAGTGGTATTCATCAATGTACGTACTATGTGAAAGAAATCTGTTGTTTGTTTAGACAAAACAAACGCTACTAGTCATTCACTGATACAGTTAACAGTACTAAAATTGCGAGGCAACTAGGTTCGCTTTACATGCCTCCTATGGACATGTGATGTGGACGTAACGTAAGAGCTCGAGGATGTCTCTCTGAATCATTTAATAACGAGAAGATGACTCTTAACATCACCAGTCTATCAAGATGAACCATTGGGGTAACATCTACCGACATCATTAGGTTATGTTATCAATTGTGATAAACGTCTTTCAGCGTCTTAGTGAAGTTGAGTCTTTTACGAAAATGTGCGAAGATAGTCTGCTATATGGAACCTCCTCTTCCTCACTGAACTTCATCCTATGAATAAAATCCAGTACTTTGAAACCATTTTTGAAAATATTAGCTCAGCTAATAGTAAAATAATCGATGTCTTTCATATTTAACTGTTGAGTTACTTCACGGCATACATCAGTCTTTCTAAGAACGAACAGAAATAAATGATTTATGATGCGTAATGATGCGTATAAAAGAATTAAAATGGACACATCTGTTTTCAGTGTACTAATCTCACAGTTTAAGGGGTACAAAACGGGTCATAATTAGTCGAGGCCTAATATAAAACCTAACGGATGTAGCACTCAATCTTATCAAACCCTAAAGCATCACACCTTTGCCTGGAAAGTGTAGCTCTACACTTGACAGATTCCATATTGTGACTCTAAGTTATGGAATACGTATGTAATGCAGAGATTAGAAGCATAAAATGAAATTCTCACCCCCATATATCAGGAGGTTACGCGTAAATGACTTCTCGCTACAGAACAATGAAGGCACTTCTAAACCCTCGTAATAACTACACACTTGTAGTAAACGTGTACGGAAGCCACTCTTTTTACGTAAGTTACTTCTTATAGAAAAGTTTGTGAGCTGCTGTTTATTAATGAGTACATACATTAATCAAATGTGAACATTGAAATCTCCCTTGATGTCTCTCCTAAAACATCTATACTCTAATAAAGAGGAAAGTTTTATTTCTGAATCTCAGATTGAACTTTAAGCTAACCCGTTATCTCTCTTCGCGATCTGGTCCAAGATTTTCCAGAGATTGGATTTACTAAAAACCTATTCACTTACAAGCACAGTTCTCCTCTTAAGTGTATAACATGATTCTTAACTACTAAAAAATCACTTGTTCAAACGTAATTGAAAGTTCTGATAAAATATAAATGTCCCATTTCATATGCCAAGGTAACTGAACTGAGGACAATATTCGTTGTCAATATCAGTAAATTGATTGCACTTGACCATATATAGTTGGACTATTACAATTTATAGCGTTGTTTAATCATAAATCTATTATACCCAAATAATTCAAAATAGCCTTCAGTTATTACCTTAGACCTCATATGATGAAAGCATCTTCCCAGGCCTTCAAAAGAAGATCAGACAATTTCCACTGGTTCTTAGAGATCATGAAAGTGCTACAAAAGATAATTATTTGTTAGTTATATTTTTAGTGAATATGCTTATATGTATGCTGAACAGTGAAAGGAGGTAGCAGATTTATCAGGGTCAGTCGAGTGTACAGCGACACTAAATATGTCACAGAGCTGTTCAGCCAACACCTTTGTGCTTCATTAACAAACGAAAACCCAATAAATGAATCACACCTGACGTCAGTGCCTACCTGTGAAATCTCTACTGTAGACCTCAGTTTACAGAAGATTTCTAATGCTATTAGTACACTGGAACACTCTTGCATTGAAGGACCAGAGGGTATCCCACCTAGCATGCTGACTATTGGAAGCAATGATCTGTATGTTATAGCCCCCAATTGATTCACCCCATCACTCTCCATAGAGTGGTGGGCTGATACCTGCAAGACTGCACATGTAATTCTCACAATGAAATCATGGTCCAACAGCGAACGTCGAAAATTCTCGACCCATATACATTACCTCGGTAGTATCTAGGGTGATTTGGAATGTACTAAGAGCGGTGGAAGTACAGCAGCCAATTAATAGCTATCTCATATCGACCTCGAAGCATGGGTTCTTTCGGTTTCGTAAATTGAAGTCTATACTGGTAGTTTCGTGGGAAGTTAATGGGGTGTTCGATGAACAGCTCTGTGATACATATAGAGTGTTCACACACTCGATTGACCCTGATAAATACGCTTCCTCTTTTCGTTTTATGGCATTTAAGTCCATTACGAAAAATTTTAATGTGTACAGGTAGACACCTGGTTTTCCGGTGCGAATAACCATTGCCCTGATAAACATTTCTGTCATCGGCACCAGGATAAGACATCATTAATGAAATGAATGCTGTGAACTTCAGAAATCAGGACGACCCAACTTTGGAGCTTCAGGCTTGTTACAGTTGGAAGAGTGATCTCTTCAGTTACATGCGATGTGAGAGCCAATAAGGGCTAGTCAGACAACACCAAGGAAGTCATAATAAGCACACACTAGTGTCAGTCTACCTCGTTCGAAAAGTGGCGGTGCAAGACACTATGATCATGGTCTTGCTAATCGAAGAACTTGCGGCGACCAGTTTTCACAGAACTGACAAACTCGAAAACGGTTTTCTATGCAGAGATGCGCCAGGCGATGAGAAAAACCACCAAGCGCCACGGTATTAACTTAACGAGGGTTGATGGTAAGCTGGAAAATGTCAGGAATACATGCTCTCAGGTGGATCTGGAAATCCTAATCATTCAAGTTTTGCTACAACACAAACGTAGCAAAATACTTGATTGAGGAGTTTTAATGCCCCCCACAAGTACTGAAGCCGGAACAAAAGGTCGATAGAAGCAATATTACAACTTGCACTCCTGGAGTTTGACCAAACACTGATGCCATGTGTGTGACGGCACTAGACCTTTGTTAGAATACGGAAAACTACACGTTCATGATAAAAACTGTCCACGAAAAAGACGGAGGCTAAGAGTAGAAGACATCATTTAGAATGCTATCCTTCAGAATATGCTTTAGCAAATCACACTTGGAAAGCGGAGAACTTGTGTTGAACGAGAAAATGAACATTCAATATGTTGGAATTTGACGATGGTCCTGACTTGGCATGGAGAAACAAATGCAATGCAAATCTTCAAAGCCATAGAAGACTCTTCCGAACGTGGCTAGTTGCCAGAATTTAGTTATACCCCAAACATCTGCTTAGGTATGTGACTAAAATTAAACCAAAAATCTAGAGTTTCTGTGCTCTCAAAGGTCCAAATGGCGAGTTTCTTACTAATTTCAAAGGCAATTTCCCCAGTCTACTAAACCAGGTACTTACAAGTTCAGAATTTAAATGGATTTTCTACTCCAGCAGTTCATTCCGGCCCCAATAGGTGCAGTTTGATACGCGAACGCCCAGATCAGTAACAAAAACACAATATTTCGGGGAGAAAACGGTTCAAACAATATGACACCTAATTCACAATCCCCACAATGGGTATCCGTTTCTGGAAGAATAAGTGCTTCCAGTCCGTACTGTTAAGGTATCAAATCCAAATATGGCTGTAGCCATATTAAATATCAAATTTTAACAACATGTACAGTTCAGAAAGAAACATAAAAACTTCAATATAAGTACCAGATATAGAAATAGTAACAATATACAATGTTAAAATCTCAAAATGGAATCAAATAAAGTACCAAAATGTCAACAGAAAGAGTCAGTCATATCATATCGCAAATATATATACATGAAGGGATTTTCCAAAAAACAAAACATTCAAAATAGATTCTACACAAGGTACTACTCAAACATAGAGACAAGTGAAGTCCTTGGGAATATAAGACTTACTTCTGACTCATTACTATTAAATGGGTAATGGGGTTGAAGGAAAAATGTCAAGAAGATTGGCTCCAGCTGTTGTAATTGTTCTCTCTGAGTTACAGGAGAATCAGAGGTGATCTGATTATAGAGTACAACATATTAAGCATGCCTAACCATTTCATTGTGGGTATCTTACCGATGCATCACCACCACTACCCTCGAGGCAATCCTCGAAAGATCGCACATCTAAGAGCGAGTACTCAGGTTCGTGCACACTTTCATATTGCGAATCGTCGCAACTTGGAATGCTCTCTCAGCCGAGGTGACCACAACCCGTTCAGTGGACAGCTTTAAGAAGAGACTTGATAATCACGTACTCACACACGGATTATCATCTCCCTCTTGGACAATCTGTTCATGATGCATATCTTGAGACCTTTTAGTTGTTATCATTGACGTCTCAGATCACTCAATTAATCTATCTTGCCTATTATCTCTGTTTCCTCTCCCTTGCTTAAACTTATGTACTCTCACACAATCTTCACTACCAATCAATAAACTAAATCACCTATATATTAATTAGTTCCGAAATTTTATTCATATTAGCATCAGAATTTTATCCTTATTACTCTCTACATTGCAACTAACTGATCTCCGGTCTGATAATGTGATAGCTGATGGTATCCAGAAACCCTACTGCCCTCAAACCAAAGTTTTCATCAAAATCCCGAGACATACAACTTCACAACAAACTGCCAACTGACTAGAATTAGACAGTCGAGTGACGAGACTCATATTCATTGGAAATGATTTGGTTTACACTTTCTCGTGAAAAAGATATTGGATATTGGAAAGGTCGCCTGCGTAATTTGCTTGTAACGCTTCTTAATTATGAACAGACTTTTCGGACAATCTAAACCAAAGCAGCCCCCACCAAATCTGACGGATGTGATTTCTAACGTAATTGTACCAATTCTAAAGTTTTTGGTTCTATAGGTAGACAGTCGGGCTGAATCTGTTGATAAGAAAATCGAAAGATTGGATGCGGAGCTTAAAAAATATCAGCTGCAAATGCAAAAGATGCGCGACGGTCCTGCCAAAGAATCCGTAAAAATGAAGGCCTTAAGAGTCTTGAAACAGAAGAAAGTTTATGAGAACCAGAAAGAACAGCTTTACAACCAAAGTTTCAATATAGAACAAACTAATTTCGCTATCCAGACCGTGCGTGACACGAAAGTTACGGTGGATGCGATGAAAGTCGGTGCAAAAGAATTAAAACGAGAGATGAAAAAAGTTGATCTGAACAACATCGAAGTAAGTACTACAGCACTAGTGTACTTGTAACCCACTGTAATCCACTCTAGTCCATGTAGTGTAGCAAATTTCGGATCGAGACTGTCACTTATATATTATCATCTTTGTATACAAGGCACTTGTTTATCGACAGATGCATATGTGATCGTAGTAGACCGATTGACGAAAAAGCATGACAGTTATGATTCGTATCTCTTGTAACATATTTAGCTAGATGACATTGTCACAAATACCACAAGTTCTCTTCAGATGACTAAAGAGAAGTGGAGTTGACAAAAAAAACATATGACCAGGACAAGAATAAGGCTGACGGAAGTTTTATTGGAATTTCGGAATGTTATTTATGATCAGAGCTTTGAAATACAACATATGTATTTTGAGGCCAGGTATCTAGTAAGCTCCTTCATTTTATCTTTCGACTCCATATCGTAGTTTCCGAAATCTTTTTCTCTCTCTCTATCCATATATACAACATAGGTCTTTAATTAAAATAAAGGTATTCTGAAGATTTCGTCAAACCAACAAAAATATTAAGTCTATCTTAAACATTTGCGAGTGTCAATTGTCATAACTTAAGTCATCACGTTTAGAAGAAAGAAGCAATATATATATATATATATATATATATATATATATATATAATTTTGAACAGTCAGTCAAACGGACTACTGAACCGAAGTGCGAAGTCAAAAATTACCCTCATATTTTTCGCTAGCTTAACGATGGTTTGGTTTTAGAAACAATGGATAAGCAGACTAAAACATGGAGCTAGCACATTAAGTTGCTGATTGCTAGTCAAACACACAAAGGTCAAAAGTTCTTATGTTAAGTATCAAGAACGTCAAATGTCATTATTTTAAGGCAGTATATGACAGCTGATAATCAACCAAAATGGTGAAAATACTTGTTGTTTTATATCTCACAATACATCATCTCCAGTTCTCTGCTACTACCTCTACTACTATGGGATTTAGACCGATAATTTCATCTCTGTAGTGTTTTGGTGTGGTAACTTGAACTGATGTACGTAAGTATCAAGTTCCGCGCTGCAACTGACTTACGGAATCTGTGAAAAGATTGGTTTTTAAATGTTAACATTTTCAAGTAAATGTTGTTCACTGATATTTTCGCAATAATTCATAGTATGAATTCATTTCTAATTGTGTTGATTAATTTATGGTTATTTTTCATTTAAATTATTACAGCTCAGTTTCGGTAAATTACGTCACTAATAATTATCTAACTTAATCGATATGTAGTTTAATTCAATTCCCCACCGTAGCCGCTTCCTCGACGTGGTGGTCGGGCTTGCCTATCGTGATGACCCAACCGAGCTATACTGGCTGGAACATATGTTCCTGCAGGTCCTACCATGCCAGGCAGGTCGATTGGAGAACAATGAGTCTAAAAGAAGCTACTCATGGTCTGAAGGCGAAGTCGTACTGCTGACTGCAGAGGGGTGTGACAGCAGTAAGGTGTTTCCCTTGGACAACCAGCATCTGCAGCGATGCTGCCTTCTCACGAGGAAGGAAGGGGTTAGAATAGGTCGACCCTAAAAATGTCACACCTTTCCCTACTTCGCGGATTTCCGTCTCCGTCGGTAAAGGCCGCCTACTAAGGGCTTTTAAGAGCGGAGCTAATACTCTCAAAACCTTTCATAAAAAGGCCGTGCGTGACTGGCCTCAAGCAGTTGTTCCTTAGGCTCTGCGGTCACGCTTCTATGTTGCTCAGACCAACGCTAATCTACCTTCCTTTTTAGGTTCCTCAAGAAACGACCTTCAACGTTGTGGGCATCCGGGAAGTGACATCCTTCCTCATTCCAATAAAAACACACGAGACCAAATTGGTCAAAATCAAATCCTTCCTATACCCCATCAGATCTTTCTTCTCTTCACAACTAACTGTACTCACATTCCCTTACCTCACTGCAACGCTAATGCAAACGAAGCGAGTTCACGAAACGTCATTCACGATATCCGGAAACCCCGCTTCACTTATCTTGGGAGTCTCATCAGTGCTGATGGCCTGGTGACTGACGAAATCTCAGCTCGGATACAGAAAGCTCGATTGGCTTTTGCCGACCTGCGTCACTTATGGCGTAGGCGGAATATCCGTTTAACCCAAGAACGAGTGTACTGCGCAGAAGTTCGCTCCGTCCTACTTTATGTCTGTCAAACATGGCCAGTGAGAGTAGAAGATATTCTTAGGTTGCTGGTTTTCTGTCAGTCAGTCAGTCAGTTGCAAAGTAGAACTTTGTACGTAAGTACATCAGTTCATGTTGCCATACCACATCGATTACAGATATCTTCGAAACATTGCTCATGTATTGTGGGACAACCGAGTAAGCAATGCTATCGTTAGGAAACGAGTATAAGTTAGGGACGGCAGATCAATAGATGAAGTAATGAAACTTCATAAGTTGAGGTGGTTAGGACATGTGTTGCGTCTGCCTAACCACCAACTGCCTCGTCGAGCGATATTTTGCGGTGCAGGAATAGGTTGGAAGAAAGCAAGGGGCGGCCAGTCCAACACATGGCAGAAATCCATGAGGTCATTGACAAGTGGACTGAGTCATGTTGGTAGGTGTCGACTACCTGGTTGGGGTCACCGATGGTTAGAGAACATGAATGATATGGCTCAAAATCGTTTGCAATGGAGCAGGTGCATTCATTCCTTGTGTCCTCTAAAATCCCAAACCTTTTAATTCTTCATCAGTTCATCTTTGTAAGTCTATTTCACTAGATTCTCAGTCAGTCAGTGAGATGCAACGTAGAACTTCGTACGTAAGTCCATCAGTTCTTATTGCCATACCACATCAGCACAGAGATGTAATTGTCAATTCAAATCCAATAGTAGAAGAGGTAGTAAAGGTATTAGAAGTAATCGGAGAGGTTAGGATTAGAAGATATTATTCAAGAAGTATGATTCAGTGAGAAAAGTTTAGAAAGTCAAAACTAGAAGTGTTGAAGAATCCAGAAGATTAGGATTTGAGAGAACACAGAGAATAAATGCACCGGCGCCATTGCGAACGATTTTGAGCCATGTCGTTCAAGGTCTCTAACCATCGATTATTATCATCTTGCGGACCCCAACCAGGTAGTCGACAATTACCGACATGGCTAAGTCCACTTGTTAATGACTTCATGGATTTGTGCCATGTTTTGGTCTGACCGCCCCTAACTTTCTTCCAACCTACTCCTACACTACAAAACAAAGCTCGTCGAGGCAGTCGGTGGTTAGGCATACGCAACACATGTCCCAACCACCTCAACTGATGAAGTTTCATTATTTCATCTATTGATCTGCCATTTTTACCTAGCACCCGATTCCTAATAACAGCGTTGCTCACTCGGGTGTCCCACGATATACGAGCAATGCTTCGAAGACACCTATGATCGAAAACCAATAACCGACGAATATCTTCTACTCTCACTGGCCATGTTTCACAGCCATAAAGTAAGACGGAGCAAACTGCTGCGCAGTACACTCATCCTTTAGTCAGCAAACGGATATCTCGCCTACGCCATAAGTGACGCAGGTTGGCAAAAGCCGATCAAGCCTTCTGTATCCGAGCTGAGTTTTCGTCAGTCACAAGGCCATCAGCACTGATGAGACTCCCAAGATAAGTGAAGCGGTCTACACGTTCGACTACTTCACTCCCTATCATTAGTCCAGGTGTCGATGCAACCCAGTCTTGAAGCAACACTTTGCATTTCGAGGGTGAGAACCGCATCCCGAACATGTTCGCATTGTTGCTTAGGGTAGTCAGAAGACTGCATTTTGTCAGCGTCTTCACCAAGTAGAATTGTCATCGGCATATTCTAAGTCAATAAGCGAGCCACCTGGTAGAATGTCTACTCCTGAAAATTCAGACGAGGATAAGGTTATTTCTAGTTGCATGTCTATGATAAAATTAAACAAGAATGGAGAAAGTGGACATCACTGACGAACACCACGTGAAGTGAGAAATTGCGGTGACAGGCCGCTATAAGCTCTCACTCGACCAATGGTGTTCGAGTAGAGAGCTTGTAAATGGTTAATGTACTTCTTTGGTACACCTTTCAATGACAGACACTGTCACATAACCTCACGATCTACAGAGTCGAATGCAGCTTTTAGGTCCAGGAAAGCAACTATTGTAGGACGCCTAAATGTGGTTCTGTGTTCCAGGACCTGTCGTAGTGTGAAAATGTGGTCTATACAACCACTAGATTCTACTTTTTGACTAATATCTTCTAATCCTAACCTCTCCAACTACTTCTAATACCTTTACTACCTCTACTGCTATTAGATTGAAATTGACAATTACATCTCTGTGCTAACGCGGTATGGCAACATGAACTGATGTACTTACGTACAAAGTTCTACGTTGCTATTGATTGATTGATTTTCTTGATAGCATGGTTCATACTATGTGCTTGCTTATCAGTATCCATCATAAAATAATGTTTAACATTTTGTTCATTTATTTCTCAAGATAGGAATTTTAATTTTCTTTTAATTGTCAAAACAATATATATGCACTAACTATTTATATCTCCACCACATTAGTTCTAAAGTTAAATTATAATGATTAAAAGTCTTAAAATATTTGATTTTGTAACAGTGCAGTAAATAGGAACTCTTTGGTAGGTAAAATTTATGCTTCAATAATAAATAGAATATTAGACTATTTTAGTACTAATATGGAATTTCATGTATTTTAACAAAGATGTACATCTTAAAGTTTGTATTTCTTCTAAATAACTATAATATACTCAACTCTGACGTAAAACCATGTTATGACTGCAAATACTTAGCAGCATCAGGGCTTCCAGATACACGAAGAGTAAATCGAGCTGCCTCCTTATTTTGACAAGGTGAAATCAAATTAGTGATTTTACTACTATCCTGTGTGCGCGTTTCCGAGACGCAGTATACATCGATGGGACAAGATTCTAAGGTCCTATCTAAGGAAACCTGTTGCCCTATTTGGCACAGGGTCCGAACGTTGAAAACTCGTATATGTAATTTAGTACGGGGTTTCAAGAGACCAGGAATAATGTTTCGTGAACTCATACCGTTTGTTCCAGTGGCGTGAGGTGAAAAACGATCGAAAGAAGGGTTGGTCGAGGAGATAAGAGAGTTATTCAGAGGTGTAGAAAGGATATGATTTCGACCAATTTGGTCTCGTGTGTTTTTATGGGAATAAGGAAGGATGTCACTTCCCGGCTGCCCACAACGACCGATTCTACTGTACTCCCAAACTTTGCAGCTTATATCAATAAGACTTTTCATTGACGTCCGTCAATGATACATGTCATTTCTCGACTTCGGAAACTACGATAACTGGTTAAAAGCCAACGGGAAAAGTGAAAACTGGCGGTAGCGAACTATGTCCCCTGATATGAGGAATGTATTTATGCAATTCCACCTAAGTTTATGATTTATATCACAGCTGTTTATCTTTGATTATTTTTGTCATACTTAAGTCTGTTAATCCTCATAAAGCATGGGTTGTCTACCAGCACTCTCCAAAATACACTGTCATGGGCCTTCCCTTCCAGCTCTACACAAATGCTATTCATTCTTTTCGTGTCTATCTTCGATTCCTCGCGCAGTGTCCTTTGGCCTCTCTCTTAATCTCTGGCGTATAGGATTCTAAGGAAGGCCTTGCCCCGTGACGCAATTATGTGTCATATCCACATTCAGCGCTTCTTCCTAATTTCTTGCTTAGCTGGAGGTTAGTTTGTTCGCTGCCACAGCAGATTACTGCTGATGGTATCTAGCCAACAGATCCACAGTGTCTTGCGTAGACATCTGTTAATAAACACCTTTAACATTTGGATAGTGGCTTTGGTAGTTCTCCAAGCCCTCGCTCGATATTATGGAACTGTTTTGGCGTCTGTATGTAAAATTCTAACTTTGGCGTTTGCACTTGTCTCGTGTTCCATATGTCTTCCTATTGTAGAAATGCTACCGATAACAACACCCTTGCTTTGCTAATCTGTGTCTTCGTATTATATATTAGTGTAAAATATCAAAATTATGTGTAAGTAACATGTTGTTCTTCTAAAGTTTGTACACAATTTGTTACGGTCTAAGGATTCGTGTTCCAACATCTAGCTGAAACAGTCCACCAATCTCTGACAAACATTTGTATACTAGTCTGTCGGCTATTTTCTATGTGATGGCAAAATGGAGTCTACTTGATCGAATTTAATTATAACTTTTTAGGTTCACTTTCCAAGTTTCCAGTCAATAGTCAAGCTACAACCTAGAAAGTAATTATTATTTTTAAAGAAGGTAAATTCTGTCTTTAGGTTTTGAGATAAGGATTCCCATTTTAGTGAGGAAAGACTGTCGGTTATCGCTAAATTTCTTTGTTGTCTGTTTAAATATACTCCACAAAGGATACTGACCATACTTCTTGTATGCAACAAAAAAAGTGAATAAACGATATTGAGATAAAATGTCAGGTACAGTATAAAAGCCTAAGACAGCTAGATAGTACTTTCAGATCTTATTTATCGGCAGTAACCTTTATAAAATTAATTGTGATTTTTATTTTGTAATCTTAAAGATTAGCTCCAAAATTTCGACATCATTTACTTTGTGGGTTTTATCTCTTAATCAATGTGGCTTATACATCTTTACTAATTTCTTCGGACCCTAATCTCTTCCATTACCACTAATACTTCTACTATCTCTACTACTATAGGATTTGAGCTGACGATTGTGTCTCTGTGCTAATGTAGTGTGGCGACCTGAACGTATGTATGTACGAAGTTCTACGTTGTAACTGACTGACTGTTATTTGGTGTACTTAGATCCTTTTATTATTATTTTTCAATAGGACCTTCAGGACGATTTGGCTGATCTACTTGTCTCAACTGATGAATTACAAAACATTCTTAGTCAATCCTATGCAACCCCAGATATTAATGAAAATGATCTGGAACAGGAATTAATGGGTCTGTGTGATGAGCTAGGTACTGACACGACCTATTTGAGTGAAGACTTCAACGCACCCTCTGTTCCAACCGGTATTCCTGGAGATAGTGTGCCAACTCCGGCCACAGGTACCATTTCATCTCCTGTGAGTTATTAGACTAAATTCCTCATTGTCAGAACCAGTTTCCTTTTTTTCGTTTTGAACCGATATTATCATTATTATTATATTTTCAACAAATTTATTGATACAATACATTGAATTTGTGTCTGAGCCAAGATGCTATCTAAGTGTCCAGACTAAGTTAAGTAAATTCTTTGGAGCCACTCCTTGAGCCTTTGACCTAGAAGTCTAATTCACTCAGTGGTAGGGCAACGTTAGGACATGCAGTCTCACAGTAACCGGTGACCAACAATAGGTTCATATGTTATATTTCCTCAGGATCCTGGAGTCTATATGCAACACTGATTCTGAGACGGATTCTCCGATTCCCCGACGTGAACCCTCCAACCCGGTTAAAACGCCGAATATTCGCTACTCAATTTCGCAAACAACACTCTCCGCAAGAAAGCAGTGATAAGTTTATTGCTCAACAGTTTTCCCTTTTCTGCATTACAGCTCGTAACTTTGAAAATAGAGAATATTCGTAGGCTGCTAGTGTTCGATTATTGCTGTCTTCGGATAATTGCTTGTACACTAGGGAATCGTCAAATTAGCAATTCTAAGGTTAGATGCAGAGCACCAGGTGGGTAGGACAAGTCAATTAACAAGGTAGTAAATCTTTATCGATTAAGGCGGTTAGAACATTTCTTACGTATACTCATCCACTAGCTACCTCGATGCTTGACGATGGCTGGTGTAGCAGTAAGTTATGAGAATTCTGTACAATTTTTTGAATTTTACTGATCCATATGTTTCTCGAATCGTATCTCCGATATCCCGTCCTTTTTGTTTTCACCAATACTGTTAATACCTCTACTGCTGTGCGATTTCCTCTGGCTGTACTAATAAGGTGTATTAATTTGCATGTGCCAGGTTCTATTTAGTCATAAAAACTACACAATCCAGTAATATATGTTCCAGCCTTCTGTGTAACTTCTGACGACCCATGTACCAAATATAGAAAAGTTCTCTGTGATAGGTTACCATAGAATTCCAAAACTTGGACTATATTAGCTGAAATCGTCTTGCTGTTACATTGTTACTACTTTAAATCACTAAGAGCAACTACCGTTTAATCATACTTAATGGTCATTGAGTTTTGTATTCACACTCTGTCTTTTGTTTAGTAATTATGTACTATCTTGATCTTTTGTAGGACAATATCACACTGGATGAATTTGGTTTACCTCAGATTTCTTAGATCACTTTTCCTATTTGATGACTTAACGCTTATAATTTGATTCGATTCGGAAGTGTACTATTCTTCAATAAAGTATTTTATTCATTCTTAATTCTAATTGTATCTTATGCACTATGGTTTTTTATTCATTTTGTCACGTGCATATCATGTTGATAGGAGTTTTATGTATTAAGTGCTTTTACATTGATAATTTCTATGTATCTTTTTTTTGGTGAACTATATCCGGCGGCATAAACGTAATTGATTTCACTTCAAAAATTGTATCCAGTAGTTCCTTTAGGAATCTACAAGTAACAATAATACTGAACCTACGAAGTTCAGTGATAAACAAATGTTACTTAAAATGAACATAACCCGAAGGAAATGAATATCATTTAACAAAGGTGTTGCAGAGGAATTATAATGCTTAAAATCCTCTAAAATTATTTAATGTTGATCAATGACGGCAAGGAATGTATGTATACGATTCCAAAAAATCCCTTTACCTAATACTTGGATGAAATATGAATAATTCATGATCAGCAAATTTAGGAGTGAAATTATATCGTTCAGTGAAGACAGTGATCAGAAATTTTGAAGAATTTTGCACGTCGATCGAAAGTGAGGTGGACGAACTACTGAAATAAATGTTCAAGTTAGGTAGTAGTCAGTTTATTGATCGATCATCATATACAATGTGATCTTTCATTTCCACTATATTTAAAGAGAGTGCAAGATGTTAGTGTTAGCACCAGAAGTATCATGATTCGCACGAAGTCCTGAAATTAAGATGCCTACTCCACTACTAAAAATACTCACAATGACATTATAAGTAGTCTTCGACTGCGATAATTAAATCTATTGCATTTTGACAGTTTACGAAATAATGGAAAAGTTATTATAGTGTTATTTGCAGTACTAATCAAATAAACGAAATTAACTAGTTCAGTTCGTTCATTTAATCAGGATCTATTTTATTAAATGAAACAATTTCACAGATAGTAATGAACAGTTCAATCTGAGGACGTTTTCGGTTTAAAAATTGACAAACGCGAATTACGAAAGGTGTGAAAACTGTAAAAAAAGTACGATAAAATGCAAACGCCTATACAGTACAGGAAACTAACGCCATTAAGAATATCACTCTATGGATAATAATAATGCGTACTAAAAGACAAAATGTTAAGGAGAAATCCTAGCTGAGAAGATGCAAATCACTGAACATATTTGTTAAATCTTTCTCAACATTTTGATTTCGATTATTTTCACATGAAGTTTCAGATAGCTGATATTTTTTAGGTACAGCAGGCACTTTTGTTACCGTGTTGGAAGAACAGTGTGGCAGAAGACGTTTATCATACTGTGCAGCTAAACTTGGTCGAAGCATACGACCTTTGGGTGTGTTAATTAATAATTCAAACTTCGAACGACAATGACCACAAATCTGTTAAAAAAAGTACAATGAAATATATATATGAAATCACTTAATAAATGGTTTGTATGCACATATAAAGACTACAAAATAACAGGGTTAAGGGATTTTTTAATCCATAATTAACTCACTCTGATTAGATTTGAGAGGCTGGGAACTGTAAATGTATCTACTTAACGGTAAAGTGTATTGATATTATGTAAGAACAGTACCGATATAAGTCCTCCAAGTCTTCATGAAGTTGATAAAGTTATAAGAAGTCTGAAGCGAGGGAGAGTAGCGGGTCCTGATAGGCTAACTCCTGAGATTTTTAAGGGATTTAGATTGACTGAGGTCTTAGCTAGAATCTGGAAACGATGTATCTAAAATGCTTGGCTCGATAATACTTCGACGCCTAACTAGAGTTCGTAAAGAGCAGACTTGAGAAAACCAGGCTGCTTTCCGACCTGCACGTGGGTGTATATACCAAATATTCACTCTTCGTCTGGTCCTGGAACATAGATACATTTCGGCGTCCCACTATAGTTGTATTTCCTTGACTTTGTCCATTTGTATATTGGAGAGGCTAAGATGATTCATTGTAAGGTATTAAATTATGATCAATATGATGATAATAAAATGAATCGTATGAATTAAATGCACGCCAGGTTAATGGAGATAATAGAAGTAGTAGTCGAATAGATATAATGTGTAACTAGATATGTATTCACTATTCCTACCTTATTTTATTTTAGCTTTTGGGAAAATAGCATAAAAATTGTTGAGATCCAATGATGAGATTATTGAAAACAATTGTTTGTGAAAATGAAAAAATTTTCATAACGTCCTACAGCGAAGTAATAATCCAACAGAATACCCAAGTTTTCAACATATACATCATTTGTATTTATGGGATTGTAAAATAAACTGGAATTGTTAATGTTAAAATGACTTACATGTTCAATGGAATGGGTGAGATTAATAATCAGAATCACGAATATAGGTAAAAAAAAAGATCAAGAGGTTATAATATAATTGTAAATCAGACCTAATACCTAGTGGGAGATTGCATAGTGCATAAATTGATTTGAATTCTTACTAAATTAATGATTCCAGAAATAATGCTAATAATACATGAACAAACATAACACCAACAATACTATTAAAACCAGTCTAGGCTATTAGATCACAAAAGTCTAAAGTTGTATGGACAGCGAAATGAGGTCACTATAAAAATGGGATGACTGCCGACTTTTCAAGCAAAATAGCTAATGTCTGTGCCGTTTGCAGAACTTTGAAAGAGAAAAACTATTGAGAATGATCGATGTATGGTGTTACTCTAACCAGAATGAACTACAACTTTGCTTAGCCACAATGGAAGGTGTTTTACAAGCACAAGTGTAAATCCTAGTAATTTTCTTTACTGGATAAGTACAATATGAGGAGACTAGTATGCCAACCAATGAGTTGCTTTTGAATTGTCAAAGCAAGAATAAAGATATCTTATTCACAGTTTGTACTTTTGTTAATAAGTTTTACAGTTATATATCAGTGTATTAAACAATATAATCTGGTGGGAGATTATTGAAAAGCATATTCTTAGTTTATATACCTGTGTTTAAATATTATCATATTTTCAAACAGTTGAGCAGAAATGTTATAGCACTGTTTAGACAGAATCTATCTAGAATAGCAACAGTCACCGAGAATAATTAAAATTAAGTGAGAAAACACTTTATCTTACCTTTTTAGTAATGTCCAAAGATTTGCTGTGCCGATTAATACATATGCCACACCCTGTGCACCGATATGTGAATCGTGTATCGATTGAATAGGCATGACAAACAGAAATGACAGGGAGTTTTGGCCATATTTGATGAACTCGATTAGCCCAAGCTTTCCAGTGTCGTCCATGGCCATCGTTCAAACCATTAATCAACCAAACAGCTGCATGGCAAATTTCATGTAATAGAGTATCGCGAACACGTTCAGCTGTGGTGCAAACCTTTTCCGACAACAAAATCTGAGCGATACGAACCTATGAGTAGTCACAAGATAAACTGCGTAAAATGTAAAAATAATACAGTTGATTATTTTGAAGGATTTCAGAATAGTAGAAAAAATGTGTACCTTAGGTGGATAATTATGATGGAGCTTTCATTGTTCTTCTGACAAATATCAGAACAAACTTCAGATAGAAGTGAAGTATTTGAATCCGCTCATATGCGACTTGTAGCTTGCTCTGCTGAATTCGATCTTGTTTAGTTTTTATTGACTTTCAACCTGTTGTTTTATGCCTCTTTATTTTTAGTGTATTCACATTGATCTAGTTCTCGATGTTTCTCTATGATTGGTTGGTGAATTGGATAAACTTCGATGTGTGTCGATTGAACTGAGTAAGAATCTTCTGAGAATTGACTGATGTCATCTACGTTCCCTCTATCAAATATTCCAACATTTTTCTAACCGAATGTATGTACTAGAGCGAAAGAGCTCGATAAGGCAGTTGGTGGTTTGGTTTCTGAAATAATCTGCTACAGCCGGATTCCTAATACCAGTTTTCTTGATAGACGGAGAAGTTATCTACTATTGCCTATCGCTGCTGTTTTTTCCATCTCTCTCACTTTCTCAACCAAACACTATTCGCGATCATTGCATAGGCTTTTTATCAGCATGTACTTAAGCTGACTTCGCTTATCTTTAGTTTAAGAGCCAGACGGGATGAATTTCCAGCATCTACCAGTTCGGTAGATGCTACTGAGATCCACGGCTTTTCCCTTACTTTACGGACCACCTTACCGGCAGATATCACTGATGTTTCCGCGGCATTATGGATATCGTTCCAAGCTATCTCGGGGTGAGCATTACTAGCGTGGCTGCCTAGCTGTTCTTCTGTTTACTTCTGAAATATATTCTTAGACTCGCTATCACTAAGTAGAACCCTAAGAGGTTTTTTTATTGTTGCGTCTTTCCTATGTCCAGTAAGCCTCAAACAAATACGCGCTAGCACTAGACCATGGTCTGAATCTAAACAAGTACTCCAGAATGAACTACAGTCTTTATTACAGCATCTCCGCCAACGGCTGATAACAATGTGGTCCAGGTGTGTCCATCGTTGGGTCGACCTTGGGTGTCGCCAGGTCAAGAGATGTTTTTCCTTATTCTTAAAGTTAGTATTTGCTAGAAATAGGCGATTATCTGAGTATAGCTGCAACTGATGATCGCCATTATATGATGTTTGAGCCAAGACAACATCAGGTCCACCCAAGTGTATTTTCTTTTACGCTCAGTCCAACTACTTGATAATCAGTCACCAGCCATTCTTACTATATCGGAGCGCCTAACTTTTGAAAGGTCAGAAATGTTTCTGTAAAATACATCTTTCGTCTCGTCTGAACTGGAATCCAGTCTGAGAGAGCTAGTTCTGTGGCATGACTTAATACCACACCTACACCGACGAGGCTGCGGGAAACAGCGGCAGAACTTCCAGACTCACCAAGTGTAAACTGTGTTGGTTCTCTGTGCACAAGATGAAATCAAATTGATGATTTTACTCGGATCTTGTATGAACGTTTCGGAGATGCAACAAACATCGATGGCAAGGGATTACAGAGCCTAGCTAATGAAGCCTGTAGCCCTATTCAAAAAAAAGTTCGAACATTGAGAGCTCGAATATGTAGTTTAGAGGGGCATTTCAAGACAACAGGGATAACGTTACGTGTGCCAGAAGCTTTTTCTTCAGTGGAGCGAGTCGACAAAGAAAGAAGGGCTGGTCTTGGAATAAAGAGTTATTAGGTGTAGAAAGGATTTGATTCTCGTTTGCTTTCACGGGTATGAGGGCGGATGTAACTTCCCGGCTGCCCACACCGTGGAATGGTTCTGGTTGTGAGAAGGGGCATTGGCCTCATGACTTCCGAAGGAACTCGGCTTTCTTGATATGCCGTCTTAACTCTTCTAAATGAAGACCTTCTAACTCCCAGATCAGGGTTTGTTAGCGTTTTTTTAGCGAGTTAGTTTATTGCGGGATGGGGTTGCCAACCTCAATCCCAACCTTTCTCCTTTATCCGGGCAAGAGACCGGTAGTAGCCCCGAAGCGTCTACAGACGGAGTTCAACTTGAAGTTAAGGAGAGATGTTCCTTAGTCCTAAAACTACTTTCAACAAAGTAAAAATGTACAGAATGGGTATCTTTTATTCTAAACGCAAATGTTTGAAATCAGGTTTGCATCAACGGGAGGGCAGTGTTTACTACATTATCTAGTCTGGAAGTTTAATCAAACTGGACACGGAAAATTTCTTTGATATATTTGTTTTCGTTTGAACTGTATTTTCCATATTTATCTTTCCGTTGTCTTTGATGTCATCATCCTTCTTCAGCTTCCTAAATAGACTGCAATCTTAACTGTACATACTCTTCAAGATAGGTCCATTACTGTAGCGATAACACTCATCTTGCTTTATAGGTGAGATTATAAAATTAATTTTGTTTCAAACCTTACCTGACTAGATGTTCCATCTGAATGAGTGGTTGTTCGCGTCATATACTTGCAAAGACCAGCAGTTTTTAATAGCCGACGACTCCATATAATCTCTAATTTTGATGGTAGCTGTGGATGAATACAAATGGTAAGTAATGTTAGGTATGCTGAAGGATTTAACAGAATATGCAAGAAATGTGTTAGTGATAAGTATAATCATTATTACGTCTACCTACCAATTGATACTAGTCTAATTTCTCTGGTTACTAATTGATGATTTACTTGGCCTCAATAAATTTATTTTGTCCTTTGAAACGCTACAATAAAGACTTAGTTTAGACAATAGATCAGCACAAATGCTCGGACATAACAACACCATTCAAAGAGAGAATCAATTATGTGATGGATAATACTTCTAAGCAGGATACAGTTAATAAAACATAAACACTAGTGAAATAACTAGACTATCATAATCGACTCTGGATCTTCGCCAACTGGTTTCAATCATCGATATCCACCATCAAAGGAACAATACTCAGGTGATTAGCATCCTTCTGCACAATTAAAACTGCGTGAAATGGTGCTGTTTTGCAGTTTGTCATAATGTGACCATGTGTCAATTTATTCTTGATTCATTTATTGTGATTGTCAAGGATAGACAATCAAAGCATCCATAGCAGGTAGACTAACTGATCTGGTCAGATCTGACTTACATCACCAACAGACTGTTTTTGTTCGTTGTTTAAAGACCGTAGATACTAATTGCAAGTTGTTTAATTGATGGATCCATAACAGGTAAGAGCTGCTCTGAAGATTTTGATGTTTAAATAACCCTGGTATACACGTATTCAGCACCGCTGATATTTTACAACTCCAGGTAGGAGACCGATCCCAATAAATCTAGAGAAAGAGATTTATACTGATCAGTACGTTGATGATAAAATTAGATAAGATACGAAAGCTTGATCCGCTTATTTTATATAAGATTATCACTCAGTATATTGTTAATAATGAAAATTGTTAATATCTTTGTGACACCTCGATAAGTAGAAAATTGAATTTTTAACGATTTCTAGTTTCTTATAAATCATTCGTTCCCACAGCAAATTAGTAAATAACCGAATTAAATGAGCACAAATAGTACTAATATCAAAAATTCGATTCCCTACTTATATATATAACCGTTTGGAAATCTTACTTGATGAGAAAATATCTTTTCATTGTAAATTCGGTATAATTTTTCAGCTAGTTCAGACCGGTTAGGCTTGAACTTTTGAACAAATCTGTAACATAGATTAAAATGGTTTTAATTTGAAAAAAATTACACATTTCTAAACATAAAAAAAATAAAAGAATAAAATTAGAACTGAAAAATCACGTGTAGAAACATGTGCCTAGTCAGAAATTATATCATCTGGAGCTTTGAGTATGAGAGATCACTCAGATATCATCTGATTGCTTAAAAGGAAACAACTGGAGTCTCTTTGAATTTATGATTTAAAAATTAATTACTGATTTCAAATTCGATGTTAAATTTATGCCCTCTATCACATTTCTTAGCTGCTCAAACAGTCAGGTTAAACAAATTTCGAAAACTTTAATTTGCGTTTGATAGACATCTATGCACATACTAAGATTCAAGCACAAAATTAAGTTCTCAATACACGAAAAAATGACAGAGATCAAAATTAAAGCTCAAATAAAATTCACTAAACTTGTAATTACCCCATACGATTACTCTTTCTATAGAAGAACCAATCATCTTTGCCGATCCCTGAGAATTTATGTAACTAAGCAAGTGTAACAGATTCAGATGAACTTTTACTTCATAGGGGTTAGTGGTAGCAAAAGCAGAGGAATTCTTCTTAGAAACAGTAAAACTTAAAAATAGAGTATAAGTGGTCACTTTAGGATTATTTCTTTCGAGAGGAGCTAAGGTGTCGGTAGACTACGGGGTATAGAAATCTTACGCTGTATTAGTTAGACCGACAATTCGTGTCTGTGCAAGAAAACTATTCATACATCCTACAGAGTGAAACGGTCATTTAAGGATACTATCACAAGTTTCTTTCAATTTCTCAATGAGACTGAAGACTGTACAGACATTAATTAACTGACCAATATTTTTCGCACACCAAAAAAACATTTCTCAAGTTAACGGTATTTGTATTTTTTCCATTATGATTAGACAATTCGGAGAAGAAAATGACAAGGTTTTACTGTCAGATAGCGTAAAGTAGTAATCAAAGACAAAGAGATATTATTTAGTATCGAGATATCTCACTTTAGTGCATCAGGATGACGAGGTTTCTTGTGTGATGTATATTTACTGTTATCATCATTATTAACTGGATATAGGGAGTAAACAAATTCTTCCACAGATAGACACTGTGAATTACATTCTTCTGTGCGATATGAACTTTTCTGATAATTGGAAATATGTAAATTCTTTGGAACTGGATGGGCACATGACTGGGCTTTTCGATTTGAAACTAAATTCTCTTTCTCTGAATCTGATTCTGACAACCTTGGTCTGAAATACAGACAGATAACACTTGCTTATACGTAAATTGTTTCACAAAAATACATTTCGAAACATTCAAACACACTGTAATAGAATAATCTTAACATTAAAGTTGAATATCCGTAACTGGATATGGATAAAAACAACGCTTCACCAACAGGTGACTTACACTGAATTTAAGTATGTATCATCTTTATTTTTCAAAGAACAGACCTAGTCACAAAAAAAACCAAATGCGATTTAGTCATGAATCATTGACGCAACAGCTTAAATTAAATAGCTTAATAATCTGACGGCAGATATGTTCAGATAACCTGAAAACCGCAAAACAAATGAAGCAAGTGAGAACACAATGACGATAAGTGGGAATTTACATAACATTCAAAAGTGACCGAAAATGAATCTCTGAATATACTAATTTTTATATGGTGTGGTTCTTATGGACAAAAACGCATATTTAAACAAGAGTCTCACTAAATGAAAAACTTATATTTTAAAATTTTCTGCTAAAAAAATGTAACAGACAAAATAGAAAAATAAGGTAATAGGTTCCTTGAGAGAGATTAAGATTTAATTTCAGAAAACTTATCTAAAATACTTACATCTAGAGGAAAAATAACACTAAAACTGTATGCTCTTTCCAAAACATAGAAACGGTTCACTAGTTCGACCCGTTTTAAATATAAATAATTCCATTTATCACGCTACAGCTGAATGGTTAACCTCAATCCAGAGATCGTTACATAAATAAATTGCTAAATATAGTGTAAACGACTCCTTTGAATTTATAGATGGTCGTACAATTGGAAGGTCAAAAATAACTTCATGATTCTACAAGACGTGTCTAATCATTTTACTAATGGCCATTAAACAGAAACAATAGAATTCAATTGCGGTGAGTAGAGGCACTGGGAAACAGAAATTTTCACATATGATGAAGAGCATTTCCAATTCAATCATGAATATTATAGACACAGGGATGGTGTAGCCATGCAATCATCACAAGGTCCTCTTCTGACAAACTTTATTCTTTTTGGACTGGAGAATAAACACTAAGAAGACAAACAATCGGCCGACCTTTTATTGCTGCCAAACATAGGACGCCTTTATAGTACCAAAAATAATAACCAGAAGGATAAGTTACTTGACATATAGAATAGCATTCATTTATCAATTATACTAAGTCTCAATAAAGAATGAAGTAATAGTATAACATCTTTGGACCTCCGAATAGCAAGCAGAGTAGATTCGACAATGAAAAGGGGAATACACGGAAAGTAAGCGACTAGCCAACAGACTTCTTTCTATACTTCTGTACCAATCGGATATAAGAGAAACTTAGTTGAGATCATGACTCATCGCGCTGAAAGGATTTATTCTGATGATACTATCGAAGATGAATTAAAGTAACCTTCTTGGCAAGGATGATTTTCCTGTTCAATTCACAGCTCACTGAACAGGTAAAAATAAACCCAGAATCATCAAAACATCCTTTAAAACAAAGAAAGAGGGCATTACAATGAACCTCATTCAATGCTATCCCCCTACTAACGACTACAATGAAGACGTTAAAGATCAATTTTACGAGACTGCAGTCAATCGTCAAGAAATGCTTATCGAAGAATTTGACGATTCTGATGGAAGACTTAAACGCCAAGGTTGGCGTGGACAACGCTGGATATGAAAATATCATATGACGACGTGGACTGGAGGGAAGGAAGGAAAATGGTGAGAGATATTCGAACCTATGCCCCTTCAACAAACTGGTCTTTGGTGGCATAATATTCTCACATAAACACATGCACAAAGCTACATATATTTCACCGGATCACATTACACAGAATCAAATTGACCAAATTTGTATCAATAAAATGTTCGGAAGGACGATGGAGGATGTGAGAACCAAGAGAGAAGCGGATATAGCCTCAGGTCATCACTTTCTGGTTGCCAACGGGTGGGTAGAGTACTTTGCAGAACTCTTGAATTGACCAGCCTCGCTGAACCCATCCAACATCGAACCAGCATCTACGGACCTCCCAATCGATGGGAAAGATGAGTTTTGAAGAAAGATTTCGGATCTTCTCCACTCTGATATAGTAATAATCGCTGGCGACTTTAATGCTCAAGTAGGTAGACTCAGTGAGAAAGAAAGACACCTGGGTGGATCTTATGGTGTCGCGGATCAGAGGACAGGTAATGGCGACCGTCTGTTGCAGCTGTGCTCAAATAACCGCCTATTCCTAGCGAACATTAACTTTAGGCGTAAGGAAAGACATCTTATGACCTGGCGGCCCCCACAGTCGTTCCAACACTGGACCCAACTAGATCGCATTGCCATCAGCCACCGATGGTTAGGTTCGATAGAGGACTGTCGCTCGCTCTGGGGCACATGTTTAGATTCAGATTATGCTCCAGTACGAGAGCGTATTTGTTTGCGAATTAACGGACTTAGGAAAGAATCCCCACCATCGCAAATTCAAGCAAGTTTGTATTAGAAAAACAGCCAATACCAATTGTCTTTCAGCGTTGTCTTTCGAATTTTATATTGTTTTTGAAGATCTTCCACACAAGCGTTTAATGTTAGAAAGCATCGCAACACCATACCTTTAACGTAAAATAGGTTTAAAGATACTGTTTGAATCTATTAGTCCTCCATTGTTTGACATGTTTAAGAGAAACACTTGAAGAATGTTAGTTAGTTGGAAACGGTAATCTTTACGATTGCCGCTGGTACTGCTATTTCCTTTACCACTATGGGATTCGGATTGACAATTCTATCTCTATGTACTAATTTTAGATGGCAACTGTACACGTTATTGTTAACTGACTGACTGAGTTAACTGAAAAATTTTTATACCTAGAATGTGAGATTCGAGAAGGGTAATAATACTGTTCTAACCACAGTGGGTGAAGTTCAAATCAAAGACCTGCTGGTTGGAAGCCAAGAGCTTCAAATACCAAGTAACTGATTTACTTGGAAAAATAAATGGAATGAAATACATGCATGTAGCATCGAGCTGTCACTGAAACTAGGATCAAAAATAGAGTCATAGTCCATCTCACTGCCTATCATTACTATTACTAAACCAAACAAATAATGATATTCGAGTGTTTATCTCAAACAAAAGAATTTTTTAAATCGGTTTCCAAAGAATTCACGTGTTGCTGTGAAAGGTAACCATAGAAACAGTCGTCGAGTCATTGTAACCACCTGGAGAGTAAGAAAACATAACTCTGACAAAAGAAAAATATCATATGTTGATAAATATGGAAAACAGATTATCAATAAACTAAACGACTTACGGTAGTTTTGTGATACCAGATGAATAAAACTTGTTGTTGACTCGGTAGTAAAACGTTTGATAGGGCGAATCACAACTCGACTCACTATCATTATCAGAATCACAGGATGACCAATCTACATCTTGATTAACCGCAATTTTCTTTGTCTCGGATCGTTGGGATTTCAAAAAGTTTTCAAAAGCCTCATCATCATCACTACTACTAACGTGTGATCTGATGATGCTAGAGTTGCGATTAACTGTTACAGTTGTCTGAGCAAGTGATTCTTTACCTGGCTCACTACTACAATTCGATTTATCTATATTAGCCCCAAGTGATTTCTGAAACCTTTTACAGAGTTTGTCGTCGTTGTCACTGGGGCTAATATTTTCTAGGATATCGGTATCTGGGCTATATTCGAGTACTGGCGGAGTTAGTACGGATATTTGTGAAACGGGGTTATCATTGTGAACCGAATGAGCCGTCTTCAGTTTGAGGAAATCTAAACGTTCATTAACATAACCGTCATTACCTTCATTGTTGGAGTTAACCAAGATACTTGGACCGGAACATAAGTCAGATTCTAAAAGAGCTTCTACTCGGGACTCGTTGGAATCCTGTACAGTGGACGAAAGATTTATTTTGATACCAGAATTCTCTTTCTTCAAATGAGGTCCAAACGATTTCTCGACAACAGTTTCATCAAACTCAAGTGCAGGAGGGCGTGCTTCACGAAAGCTTGTGACCGGAGGACGTGAACTCTTTTTTCTTGAACTAAGCTAAATAGACTGCGTAATGATAATCGAAAAAAGCTTACGTGTCCAATGATACTCAGAATATCATTTTTGACAGGTGTTCGGTTAAAAAAATCCATCTGACTCTACAATTCTATACATCACTAACGTATAAAAAGACCATTTAAAAAATCGAATTCAATTACTTGTTTAGAACCACATAAACCAATAAAATAAGCGATTCATAGGTTAAAAAAAACAGTTCTTGTTCATCAGTTACTCGCAGATTATATGCTTTCGTTACCATGTGAGAACTGTTATTGATACAATACATGTCAAAACCGAATATATGTAAAGTATTGCTATTGATAGGCGCCTTACTGTTTTGATCAAAAAAGGACTATTAATTAACAAATATCCTGATTCAAGGAATATATAAAACTGAGGAAAGCATTTGATGTTATTAAATCAGAGTACTTGTTGATTGAATTCGCTACATGTGGCGTCTATCAAAGCGTATCGTATACACTTCCTACAACACCTCCCACTCCCTGTAGCATAGCCATCGTCGCCAAAATATTGTGCGAAACCCCTCCACAGTTAGTCTAATAAATAGATCATGTTCCGTAATAATATTAGTCATTCTAAATCGCTGCATTTCAATTCCGATTCAACACAGGAACACACTCCTTTACGTCTTATAATGACGGATAGGTCATAGGCAGTATTTTTTAATTGATTAACTTAACACAAAATAGTCGGTCAATAGAGGCACCAACATATGTATAAGTGACAAATGTCACTGGATTAGTGTATAAGCTGACATACTGACCCGGTATCAAAACCAAAGATAGTGGTTTTTTAGGAAGGTCATCTCTCTAGCCTTTGATCTGGAGGTCTACTCCATTCAATATCCAATATCTTTTTCACGAGCTAGCGTAAACCAGTTGATTTCTTGTTCTGTAGATTCTTGTTTTTTCACTACGGTTCCAGGTGTTTGATAGTGTCCAACAGATAAGGTACTTGCAACTCGCATACCTAATTCTAGTCATTTGGCAGTTGATTGTATGTCCCATGATTTGAATGAATACTTTTTTTCAGGGCAGTAGGATTTCCGGATACCAGCCGCTATCACGTTACCAGACCAGAGGTTATTTTGCTGCAATGAGGAGAAAACTCGTGTTATTAGGAATCAGATTTCAGTACTGAGTAAATAAATGTACAGTGTAGTTTATCAAGTGGTAATGAATACTGTGTCAGATGACCGAAGTGTAAGCAAAGGAGAGTAAACAGAGATGTTTGGCGAGGTAGATTAGGTTGTGGTCTGAGATGGTAATTAACTAGTGAATCGGTGTTAAGAGATACAATCGAATGGTAGGCAGTAAGTAATGATAAATTAACAAGCTATTTGTTCTTTCAGGATCTTGCAACCCACATGCCACACTGTTGTAGTAGTATACTTTTACGAAGAAAACACATTAGCTGAAATATAAACATTTATTATTGTACTTAATTCTGACAATAATTGTTATATTGTACACCTCCTGTTTATCTGTACTGAAGACTATCTCTCGCGCGCCAAGCGTGTTATTCCCATTCTCCTCTTCTCACGTCTCCCGCGTGGACATTAGCCGTTTGTACGCCCTCTGGACTCGATATTATTTCGATATCGTGAGGCTACCATCAAATATACTTCTTACTCTGGAATCACCTCTTTATTTGATTCTTAGAGTATCGGGATTAACATTTGTTATCCCGCTTAGTAGTATATCGTAAGAATTTCTATACTGTCTTGAAATCTAAGTTTTCTAACTCTCTCCCTGGATCCTCCAGACTTTTACCCTTCATTTTTGGATTAAACCCTCAATGAGAACTACCTGCTAAGGCTTTGGTACATGATCAATATACCGGCCTACACATAAACTCATTGATTTATGTGACGCATAAATTGTTTAGGGTTAAGCTAGGTAGGAACTAATGGTTCGAGGGTAAGATCGTTTTGTCGACTGTACTGAGATGAAACAAGAGATATTTTCTATAGAGAGCAGGCATTCATAATGACATTAGATTCTTAGTACAGAAGCGCAGTAAAAGGTCCAATGACTATCTGAGAGTATTCACATACTTCAAAGGGGTAAAAGCATTGGTGGTATGCTTGTCGAGTTCTTCAAGGAATACCCTACAAGTAAGTTGGAAGGAGGAATTTACTGGCACATCACTATCAGGGCATATGATAACTTAATATAAAAACGAATACCTTCAGCTCAATACCTCTTTACCATCATTACGAAACGTTTATTATGGTTTCATTAAGGCTGAGGAGAGCCTCCAGTAATAGATTCCTGAAGGTAGTAGCTGATTTATCGCCGATTAAAATGTACGTAAGAATTCGAGGGGATCGTTCACTGCCTGTGCTCCCAACGATTACAGTATGAAGAATACAATGAAAAGTTTAAATATAAATTTCTAACTTTCTTTGAAGATGTGGTAGTTGTAGAAGTAACTTTTATACCTAATTATGGAGTATAAAAAAACTCAAAGACTACTCGGCGAACACAAATATGCAACAGCTCTACTTGAACAATTTGTTTTAGCACAGTGTGTATACTTTCTTGTCGAGTTCTGAGATACTATCTTCACCAACAATTAGAGACATTCTATGGGACAGCTGAGCATCAGTAGCAACCGTTCAAGCACAGGTAATCAGTCTTTCCAAAAAAATTCAGTTCTAAAATTATTCTTTACCTTCTATTCTACGAATCCGCTTGTCCTTCTCAAGTCTTGTTTATCATCTCTAATCCCCAGCATATGTTACAGTCTCAGGTTCCGTAATCTATGTGTATAGTTAGTAATTATCAATAATTGTGGTCTGCCTTTAAACCAATGGTTGTCATAAAGTAAGTGAAAAAATGCAATCTTTAAGTCCCAGAACAACATGGTTTTAAGAAAAACTTTCCATGTACGGTAGATCTCATTGTAAGGCAAGACTGAACTTCAATGAAAGCCAGTTAAACTCCATGTAATGTACAAACCACTGGTCTAAGCAAAGCATGCCGTGAGGTCCTTCTCCCAGGACTTTTATTAAAAAATTGAAAAGACTTTGAATTTATCGTGATATCAAAATGGAATAAATCCTTTATATAGTAACAGGAGAAAATAGGTAATGGTAAACAGGCCTTAGGAAAGCGGAAACCTGAAAAAATTGAAGTTCCCAAAGCCACAATGCTGTAGGGTTTTCTACTCTTTCTTTAAGCGAATGATTCATTTACTGTAGCAATGTCATCTTTGATAATCTTTGCCCATAACATCAAGATTCGGAGATCCATAGGGTGTAATTACGACAGGGTACTCTAGTGAAGGAGAAAACAGGTGAGGGCAACCGAATTGTATTTATCTCAACTTACAGAGTTAATTGGTCTAATAGGAAAACCATATAAGGTCGAATCTAATTCCTTGAAACTAGTATTTTCAATGATGAATAGCCAAGGACAACCGAAAGTTTTCTGTAAATTTCCTTTTCTCAGAGTACAGAGTTAATTGGTAAAATAGTAAACCATATCGTAAATCGTTAATTTGCAAAATATCAATCCATCATATCGAACTGGACTGTTCCTGTTGCAAACATCAATCCACTGTCTGACATTTCACTGTTCATGTGTTTCATACAAATTTCATTGTGTTCCCGCTCTTCCTTTCTTGATCTTCCCCCATCTTCTGCTTCCAGACATTACGTTTTTGTTCGCGCTATATACTACTTATAAGTAGTGCGCACCACAGTACCACTACAGAAAAACTAAATTCACTGTTTGAGTGGAAGTTACAGAGGTCATTGGAAGTAAATCCTGGCAAAAATTTAGGCTTTCATGTATGTAACTGCTACAACTCATACAACGAACTTTTAAGTTAGATGATGTTTCTTGAAGTATTAGCTTTTAAAGATCTTATAGTCATAATCAGCAATAAGCTTACAAAAACCAGCAATTACAGGTTCTTAAGGAGTATTGAAATATAATTTTTTAGTTGTATGTAGAAATGCTTGAGGTACTAAATCTAATGTTAGGAAAGACGCATTCGGAACGTTGGATTCAGGCGACAAGTCTTTGTTTCAAGAATGAAGCGGATATGTAGAAACGAGTTTGACATTCAGACTCCAAAATGGAAAAAGGTCTCATCGACCTGTTTCGGTAATAATGACTGAGATGCCTGAAGCTAATCCCGTAATCTTACCATAGTGTATGTTGTAATTTTTGTTATTTCTGTGTCTTATATGTTTCTATATAAATATATATTGATAAACACATAAACCACCCCAAAGATCTTGATGAGTCTAGGAACTGTGAATCACTTGTTTAAGTGCAAATGCAGACTGTCATCTAGAAATCTAAAGACACCTGCATTTACAATCCAGCTGTTCAAACGTTAAATTGCTTGAGTGTGTCCCATAAAACAGTACAGTTACAGGCAAAACTTATAAATTAAGCACTAGACCCCCCAAAATACATTGCAAGAGAGTCCTCGAAAGAAACCGAATTTTTGTCGAAAAACAACTCTAGGGGACCAAAAGACTATCCACCTTTAAGTAAGAAGAGTGAACAGACCAAATCTTGAGTCTCAAATAAAAAGTAAGTAGGATTCAATCCCAGTTCTCTACGACTTTCCTACCTACGATGAACACCCCTCTGATGTCATATGATATGCTTTTAGCTCCTCAAAGATTTAAGACCGATAGTAATAAGAGCATATCGGACAAACATCTGATAACCCACACAAATACTAATTAAACAAGAGCTAGGTACCTTGCACAACCACCAAACCCTAGAGTTATTAGTGAATGTGGGAGTAGAAGATTTTTGACCCCATACCCTAGAATTAATACCCATTTAAAACGCTAAGAATGCAAACCCGATGCAATCTACCCTAACAAGGCAGCTAGTAAACATGGCCCTTGATTAAGAAAAAGTCTTAACAACTGGCACTTCTACACGGTAAACCGTCCCCAAGTTAAAACCATTCCAAAATAATTTAAACCAAAGTAACGAGTTGTATCATTAGGTCTGTATTAAAAACGGTGGAGTTCTGTACTTCCAGCGTACTCAAAATTGTTTGGCGTACAGTCACCAGTGGTACCTCTTGATGTATACCTTAAGCCATTTCATACCACGTGCAGAATTTAAAAGCACTCCCCTTGCGAAATTTCAAACAGGCAATGTTCTCGGCGTCCTGTATGTTTCAGTAGCTTACGTAACATGTCCCTCCAGACTTCTTATACCACACCTAGATGGGTCTTTGTAACTCCTTTACTCAAGATACTCTAAACTATTTCAGCTTAGCGGGACATCTGTTTAATATATATGTCTTAATAATGCTCGTTCGATCTGTAATAGAAAAACAGATCTAGTCATGTTTCCGACTATTTGCGAACCATCACTTATAATGATAACTGAGTCATGCACCTCTAGTAATATTTCTGATCTAAGTATATATCTTGAAAACTATGATCCTTTTCTAAGTGATAGGTTACAAAGTCGAGGTGAAGGATGCCTCATATATGCCCACTCTAGTCTAAACTTCCTCTTATGTGATGTGTCGTTCCTAAACAAACCACAAGATTCTATATGGATCATTGTGAATCCCTAAAATGCAGTTTCCTAACTGTTCGGCTGTGTCTAAAGTCAGCCTAATGCATCAACAGGGAATCTAGCATTATTGTCAGAAGTATTCACGTTTGTTTCATTCCTAATCTTTACAAGCAAGGCTATTTGTGGGTTCTTCAACATGCCTGAAATCTCTTGGTTCCCAATTAAAGCACCTAAACGATTCGAATCATTTATTGAATGCTTAGAGCTTGGAGAGTGGAATCAACATGTCAACAACCCAACCAGA